TTGAATCATTAAACTAAATTATTTAACCAAATCAACGAACTTTAAATTAAAAATGGGAGTAGTTGTCATTGTTTTTTTGAATCATAATACATTAAATAAAAGTAAATTTTAGTCTGTAAGAATGGATTTAATATCAATTTAATAAAGATAAACTAATAAGCTGAATTTAAATTAATTTAATTTATTGATCTTGGAACAGGAAATTCTTTTGGCAGATTAACAGCAGATGGATAGTTTATGGTAACATGGGATGATAAAACTGAATAAATTTAGATATTATTATTTAAAGAAATTAAAAAATGATAAATCTAATATTAAGAAATATATATAAATAATTTCATTTTTAAATAGTTTAATTTTTTTTATTAAATCATAATGATTAAAATATCATATTGTTTTGATGTGTCATAGATTTTAAATTAAAAAATCAATCATTATTATTGAAAAGAGAAGTTAATTCATAAATCTAATTATATTTGATTTGATTAAAAGTGATTTAATAATAAGTTAAATTTATCCTTTTTACTCTTCTAAATTATATAAAAAACAATTTCTTGAAATCATAAAATTTTATTTAAATTGTAATAAACTAACGAATAAAATAGAGTTTGGAGATTGATTTACAAAATATCTATTTACTAACACAAAAATAGAATATGTTATTCAAAAATGATAGAAGAAGATATCAAAGAATTAAGATAAAGAAAGTAATTTTATTTAAATTTTTTTCCAAAAAGAATTCATTTTATTAAGTTTTTATATGCCAGTATAAGACTTATCTAAATTATATTAATTTCAATGAATTTTAATGCTACTATTTTTGATTAATAATAATTAATGATGATTTCATATACAATCTATTATATCATATGAAGAATTAAATCAAATAGATAATATATTGATGACCATCATTCTCATAACCTTGCTAATTAATACAGAATTTATTCCTAATCAGAAGAGAGGTTTCCTATTCGTAACGCTTCAAAATAATCTTATTTTGCTTCATTTTTTCTTCCCAAAACTAGTAATGTATCAGCTTTATAAAAATTCAATAATAATACCTTTGCGTTTTAATCTATTTGAATTTTTTTTCAAAAATATTGCTTAATCATAAATTTTTAAGTCTTCATTAAACCTTTATAACATATGTAATATGTAGGTTTATTTAAATAAATTTAGAGAAAGAGCTAAATAAAAATTAGTGATTTCCAACCTTTGTTTTCTAAAGCTTCGTCATTGTTTTTGTTTAGATCAATTGCAGTGTTAAAAGGTTAAAGAGCATCTTCAATTCTATTAAGTTTGAGTTTTAAAAATGCTAAAATCCTATTCTTTTAATGTTGTTCCTATATAATATTATTCATTTTAAGTTCTTTATTTTAACATTAAAATAGAGTGATGGTGTTAAGGCAATAATAATATAAAATATATATATGTAACCTATGATTTCGTTTATGGATAAGCAATATAATATATTAAGGTATTAGTAAGCTTGTATAAAAATGAAAAAGATTAAATATTTGATCGTATAAAAAGAGATATTGACAAAATGTGTTTTCAAAAAGGATTAATAAGAAATTTATTGATATAAAAATTATAAATATTATACAAAAATCAGAAAAATTATTCTCATTTATTCTCTTAATTTTGTTATACTAAAATTTGGAAGTTAAAAACTTTCAGAAATTGAAATCATTATAATACTTGAATTAATTAGCAGAACTAATATAAATTAAAACTAATCAATTTATAAATGAAAACTCATTTTAAAATCTTTCTGCTTGTTCTTTCTTAATTTAATTGAGGAAGAGTTTTAATTTATTAGTAGTTAATAATTTTTCCAATTATTTTCCTAAATAATTAAGAATATATATATTCAGTGAAAAATTGATATAATAAGAATATTGAAGTAAAAGTGTAATAAAATAAACATGTATTTTATTTTAATTGAGATTGATTTTTTGGATGGGGAAGTTTAAATTTCGAATAATAGTTCTAATTTAAAAACTAAAATATTAATTAATTGAATATTCTGATATACTTTAAATGTGGTTCTATACTTAAAAATAAGAAAAGGTCAGTTAATAATAATATACATTTATCAATTTCCTCAAAGTATTAAAAGAACTAAATTTAAATTTTAATATGGCGACGATTCCATTTTATGAAATATATAAAACTAAACCCTTAAAATAATTACAATTTTTCAAATATTATCCTCTTTTCTTGTAAGTTTTAAAAAAATGAAAAAAATATGCTTCTTTCATACATTATATGTGGATTGATTTACAATTAATATTATAAATGGCTGATTTTAGATGTAAAAGTTTCAGTATCAGATCAATTCCATTATTGTGTTGAATTAGAGGAAGGATGATCATTAAAAAATTACTTTTAAATATTAATTATAATGTAGAAATCCATTATATTAATCTTCTATTAGATATCATGTTTGATTTTAGAGTAGTTTTCCAATTAGAATTAGATGTTTTAATCAAATGATAAGTACTCAATTACTTGTGGTTGCCTCTATTCTTAGCTTAGAAACATATAGTATGCTATTTATTTATGACAATATGATAAATCTAAAAAGAAGAAATTGAGTCTCAATTTACATTTCAGAAGAAGGAAAGTATAAATACAATTGAGGAAGCTTATTATTAAATATTTTTGTGCTTTAGTATATGATGATGATCACAATATCATTATATATAAAAACAAATAATTAGAATATAGTTAAAATATAAAATTAGGATTCATAATTGCAAGAATTTTCATGTCAATATTTCCTTAGAGATTTACTAAGTAACAATTAGAAGAAATTATAATATTAGTGTTATTTAGTGAAATTATATTTCTTCCATTATATATTATTATAAAAAATATAGTTTCACCCCGATATTTTGATTATTAAACAAGAACATTGTTCTTTAATTATTTTAATATAATAACTAGATATTTTGATGTATCTTCAGGCTCCCCAATACCATGTTCTTTCAAAAATATGGTGTGGCTCTGATCATGTGATATATAAAGTTGAGAATAGGTGAAATTCATAGGAGTGTGCTATAAAAATTGAAAAATCTCCTGGAATAGGCTAGATCCAAAATGAAATTGGAATGCTTAATAAATTAAAAGGTATTTCAAGTATTCCAGTTTTAATATCATATGGAGTTACCCCAGAGAATAAGTAATTTATTAAATATAATAAATTAAGATCTTTTCTTATTATTCCATTACTACATGTTAACTTAGGTGAAATAGCCAAAAAGAAATAAATATCTTTAACTTAAATATTAAGGATTAGAATGAAGATTACTGAAATTTTAGAAAAACTTCATTAATAAAATATACTTCATCTAGACATCAAACCAAAAAACATTATGATATCATAACCTTTAGTAAATGATTCAAAAATATAACACCCTGATCTTATTCAACTTATTGATTTTAGATTATCATAAGAATTAATTAGAAATTCAAAATTATTGAAAAATGTATTTATTGGCTCATTAAATTTTGCCAGCAGATAATCTCATAAAGGAAAATAACTAGGCTATAAGGATGATTTAGAAAGTCTCTTGTAAGTTTTGGTTTACTTAAGAAATAATATGTATATACTTTACCCTTAGTAGCATATACAAATTATTTCAAGCTAAAGATTAATACCTCTCTTCATAACAAACTTATTATAATGGGGTTCAAGTATCACTATAATTAGTTATGTAACTTTTGTTGGTAAATTTTATATGTTTTATGCTTTCATATAATTATTCCAAAATAACTCAACATTAGATAATTAAATTATAATGTTCTGCTATAATAACTATTCTCCATAGATATTAAATATTTGAATTAAAATATTTTATAAGCATTAATTTACGAAACATTTTTGTTATTGCGTTTTTATTAATAAGGAGATCAAGTAATTGTTTCAAGATAGAGTAAGGTGGCAATTTCGTTTATAAATTTAAATAAAATAATAACGATCAATTTTTTTATACAGGAGCTTCCATTGAATTTTTTTCTATATATTACACATCATCTTTATTGTTCTTATTCCTATTTTTATCTAATTTTCCCCTTTTTTGCAATTATTGACAATTTACTTAAAATCTTTATTCTAGAGGAACGTTTTATAAATTCTAATTGTCTTCTTAAGTTGAAGTTTATTAGAGCTATTGAGAGTTCAAATTTAGTTATTATTATTAATTGGAATAATGATTGTATTAGTTTTAATATTTCTCATTAGATTGTTAATATTTGTTGAATACTTAAGTATCATTATTATTATTGTTGTGATACTAATTCTATTAATATTAATTTTAGTAAAATCCATTATTAAATTACCAATATTAAGGAGTTTACTAGAATTAGTAACCTAATTATATAAATATTTAATACCAACAAATGGTTATTAATAATATTGCTAAAAAGGCTATTGTGAATAATATTATTGGCCATATTGAGAATGATAATAAGTACCTTGTGCTTTTCTACTAGTTTTTTTCCTTTCATATGATGCAACTGAAAAAGAGAAGGGAATAGATTCAAAAACTGATGATAACTCTTAAAATTTCTTCTCAAATCGAATATTATTTGTTCTTTGCTATCTACTTTCATACTTAAATGATGATAATCGCAAATACTTCTAATTTATCCAATTAAGGAAATTCTTCGAATAAATATTTATTTGTCTTTTCTACCTAAAAAATTTTTGCCATTTTGATCCCATTCTCAATAGTTAATTCAGTGCAATCGATCAGATCATAGACAGATTTTAAGGTTTCTTCACTGCCTTCTAATCTTTATATTTATTTAATTTCTTCAAAGAGTTTAAATGGTAAATCTTTGACATAGAGCTAAGAAAAGATTATAATAATTAATACCCATTGAATCTAAAATGTCCCAAACCATTTATTCTCAATTAACCAATATTTGAAATGAGCTTTTGAATTGAACTCAGAATTTAATTTGGCCATCCCACTAAAACACATACTGTTTATTTCGGTGAAAAATAAATAAACATCTTCCTTCTTATTCTTAAATGCCTCATCTAATCTTTCATTTTTACGAGAAGAGCTTTCCTAATAGAAAACTTTACCTCGTCCAAATACCATACTTCATTGCTCTATGAACATTATCTTCTCCCTAGGTTCTTATAATAAAGAATCTGCTTTCCTTTAAATTATTAAAATTGCGATCAATATTGATATTTGCTAATGGAGGGAACTTGCTCCTTATTTATTCTAAATTATCATAGTTTTCTAATGACACAAAAGGCGGCTATGATTAATTAATTCTATATACTTGATCACTTGTTGCTTACATAAATAAAAATAAAAAGATTTAAATATATGCTTAAATATATATTTAATTGATTATTATTTTTACAATATCATTTCTAAGTTTAGCAGATAATCAAAAGTGAAGAAATACTATATTCTTTTTACATGAATGAATTTTCCTTCCAAAAATTGTTGGTAATATTTTATTTAGAATCATGGCAGCAATAAATAACCAATTAATTTTTTGAAGTTATTACACTATATAAATTAAGGTTTTAAGGTAATTACAAAACTTTTCCAATGCTTGTCCTTCTGTTTTCTTAGCGATTGTATCTCAGCTATTGATCAAAGTGTCTTAATGATAATAATCAAATAATTAAAGTTTCTTTCCAAAAATCATCATACAAGTCACAGAGAAAAAAATTTAGCCTGAGTAAATTAAGAATAATTTTAATATATGCTTAATTATAGATGAAGTATATATTTTTACATTTTCAATCATAAAATCTAACTGGATTCAATTAATTTTGAGTTTATAATAATAATTATTATATGACTGTTTAAAAATAACTTGTAGAATTTTTAAAGATTATAAAATAGGTAATCTTAGAATAATCTCAGATTAATATTAATCCCATAAGATATTTTAATGACTAAATTTATTTTGAAATGCTTTTTGTAAGTAATAAATACAAAGGCAAAATTTTAAAATAGTTCAGAAATAATTTTATTTTAGACCAATATTTATTAAAATATATTATAAAGACTATATTGGATAAGAGAAATTATGAAAATGCTTATGGAGTTATTTATAATGTTATTTATTATAAAAATTATAAAGAACTTTAACTGTGAACAAAATATCTATTGGATCGATTTTTTTTCATCTTGTATTGATTTTTACATATATTTTTTATGAGTGCAATAATATCATTTTATAAATATAAAAGATTAATTTATAATCTAAAGAGTTCTACAAAAATGTCATTTTAGTGTTCTTGATATTATGTTTAGATAATTGATTTAAATCATCTTAGCGTAAAAAATGTCAACACAATAATTTCACAGTATTTTATAAGTATTTCAGTTTAATTTGTAAGTATGAATTATGGATTATCATCTTCATCTTCAATAAAGGCGTATTATTGAATCAATGCTGGAGGATGTAAAATTAATTAATCTAAGTCCATATCATGATACCTATAACTATCAATACCATACATGCCTTTCTTTAGCTATTTAAAAAGCTTTAAAATTTTAATTTATATACTACATCTCACATTCTTTTTATTTAAATACCAAAATCTCATTAGCTCAAAAATAATTCATTTATTAAGGATATTAAACTGACTTTACAAAATAATTAGTCCATAAAATTTTATAATTTTCTGGGAACTTTATAAGGAATAACACTGGCATCAGTTTTATTTTAATTTTTAATTTGAAAAAATGATACCTATTATTAAAAATAAAATTAAAATTTTGATTACCAATAAAAAAATAATTTTTTTCATCTTAGAATGTTATATATATGTCGAGCTAATAACTTGATTAATTAAATTATAAAAAAGGTAATTTTATTATGGTAATTTAATAATTTAAGATAACTTCTAAACTTCGTAGAATACAACTATGGTAGATAATACTTAATAATAATATTTTTCTTGAAGTACAACTATTATTTTTCGAGTTTTGTAAAATTTTACGATTTCAAATATTTAGAAAAATAGAGATAAAAGGAAATCTATTGTTTATAAAAGAATATACTTTTTAATTTTTGCATCCTTTAAATAAGACTTTTATTATAATTAAATCTAAATTTATACATCAAATTTAAAGTTGTCGAAGAGTTTTTATAAAATGATTAAACATTACATATCAATTACATTTGTGTGGCAATGCCTAATATATGCTTGCACTATGAAGTTTACATTCAAATATCTATCAATATTTAAAATACTCTAATTCTTGAGTTAATTCTAGTTAGTTTATTTTCATCAGTAAAGTTAATATTGAAATTATTCTGAAAAATGATTTTCTGATAGTAATAGTTATTTTTGTAGATTTGAAATTGGTTTACAAGAATTATAGATCAACTTCTAGTACACGAATGACTCTAATAAAATTTTTATTATAACTAAATAAAGAAGATTAAAAAATACAATTTAATCTGACGTCAGCAATTAGTTTTGAATCAAAATTTAATTAAGATTGTAATTATTTAAATCTATATTTACTTAGAGGTTTTATTATAAATTAGATAGATTTATTCTAATCTAATATATTTTGTTTTTCAATCGATATAATTTATTATTTTATTTATAAAGTTTATACCTTTACTATAGCATCTCAATTTTTGGCGCTATTAATTTAATAGCAAAATGCGGGTTTATTTATTGATACCCGCATTTCATTGCAAATAATAATAATTAATTAAGATAAGATGAATAACTACAAACTCATAAAAACATAGTCGAACAATAACACTAATGGTGAAGATGAATCTACAAGACATCTAAGTGAGTTAGTAGATACCAAAATATGCTCAATTAAAGTGGCATCAACTACTCCTATTAATTTTCTAAGCCTTAGAGAGAGATATGGGTAGTTATCAGATTAATATCCATTGCCAATTAAATTCTAATAATTATTATAAACAATGAGAAATATTGAATAAACATATTGGAAAAAGAGAAAACCCCTAGTATATGATATCAAAACTAATGCCATTAAAATATTATAAATTGGATAATTGTTAAAACTTGATAAAGATTTATATGAGATAAAAATTGTAAATAAATCAATTGAACTTATATTAAATGACATTCCTATTGAAAATTTACCATAATTTTAGCCATTTTAAAGTAAGCTACCTGCAATATTTGAAAATAGAATTTCTTCAATTAGAAATAAATTAGATCATTTAGTATAAGAAGCACATGAAAATTATTTAAATTTAATTGGAGAATAAAGTTTTCTTGAAAATTCTAAAGAATTTAAGATTTATTATTCTACTTTTGATATGAATCTAGTAAAAGATATCTCTCCTATATAATTACCATTTCAAATATATTCTGATGAACAGAGAGATTAAATTAAATAAATTGTTGGAATAACGATAAAGTATTTCAATTAAAGATCAGTATCATTTGTTTTCTATAATAATTTAATACAACATTTACTGAATAAAATACCTATGAATAAAGAAATTATGGAGAAATCATTAATGTTTTTGATTAAAATTCAGCCAGATTTTTTGTAGATTACTAATTTAAAGAAAGAGTAAATGAAAAATAAATGGATAGTTTAGATTAATAAATTCTGCACAGAATAAAAATAGTTTGAATCGCTGAAGACGTATTTCTATTGATTTCATGTTTTATATTAATTTAATTTTAATTTAATGTACTCTCAATTATAAACATTAGATTTATATGAAGATGATGATTACTAAAACCTTATGATGGATTGTTATTAGGAAAATAAACCTATTATCTTGGAGAATAAAAAGTAGGAAAAAATGATGATTTTGAAAGAAATAGGAGAATTTCTATTATATGAAGATTATTTACTTAATTGTTATTTAAAATCTAATAAGCCTACTGTAGATAATTTTTTTGACTCTTAAATTTAGATATATAAATTTGATAAACAAAAATAAATATTTGAGCCATTCAATAGATAGAAATTATCAATGAAAAAATGTATTATTGTTTGAAAATCTTTAGATTTTACAATCGGTAATAATACATCCTTAAAAAATAATGAGTTAGAAATCAATGAAATAGCATTCAATGATGCTCAAGTAGAATTGATACATCTTGAAGTAAATTATGAAGATTTATTATTACCAATAAATAATAAAAAAAATATGATGGAATAATTAAATAAAAGAATAAATGAAAGTGATTTCAACATATCAAGTAAAATAAAATAAAAAATTGTAAGTTAAAGAATAGCAGATGATGATAATTAACTAAAAGTTAAAAATGCAAAAAAATAATATTAGTAATATCCTATGATAGATGTAAATTCTTATGCTGAATATTCAAAATTGAAATTAAATAGAAAATTTAAATTAGGTGGTGGAGATTGGAATCGTAATATCTTATAAATTTTAGAAATTAACAGATGCTTTGAAATCTTACCAAAAGAATAATCAAATATCAATTATTAAATAAGAGGGACTAATTATAGTATTCAATATCTTAAAAATAATTAATAAGAATAAGAAATAAAGATAATTTTATAATCTCCAGCTATCAAAATAAAAAATGATTTTGATGATTATCAATACATTTTAATTGCAAATTAAAAAAATGAATTTAGTATAGGAAGGTCTTCATCTAATGATATATAAACTGAGGATAAAAATATCTCTAGAAACCATTGTTTAATAAGATACTTATAGAATTAAAAATTTTTGGGAGAGTGGGAAATTATGGATTTATAAAGTGCTTAAGGAACTTGGTTGTTAATGTAAGACGATTCATATTACAAGATTGATAATATGACTAGAATAAGAGTTGGATCAAATATAGTAAAATTAGAGTTTTTGAATAAAGAAGAGAATTAATGTAATAATGAATAATAAGAAGACGAAAATGAAAATGAAGAAGATTTGACTGAAAGTCTATTGTAATTATGACAAAATAAATTATATATATAATTATTTAAAAAAATACAAAAATGATAAATAAAAAATCTTCAACAAATAAGCAACAAGAATGGTAACATAGGCAAACGATTAATAAGAAGTAGTTACAGTAAAATAGATAAATTATTTTAAGTAAAATCAATAAGCATCCAAATACACTTTAAATTAAATTGTAGGAAATGGGACATTTGGAATGGTTTATTTGGTAAAGAGGTAAGGTTATGATAGGCTACAAATAATTAAACTAATGAAAAAGTTGCCATTAAAAAGGTGTTCTAAGATAAGCGTTATAAGAATAGAGAGCATATAATAATATAAGAATTGAATAATCCATGTGTTGTAAAATTAAAAGAGGCATTTTTTACATAAGGTGATAAGTAATGAAAAGTTAATTTATAAAGGGAGATGATATTTATTTAAATTTGGTTATGGATTATATTCCAGATGCATTAAGTAAGGTGATCAGATATTATAAGAAGGCGAAATAACTTTTTCCAGTAGTTTTGTTGAAAATTTATAGTTATTAAATGTTTAGAGCTTTAGCATATTTAGAAGGTAGATGTCATTTTAATAATAATTAAGGTGTTGGAATATGCCATCGAGATATCAAACCTTAGAATATTTTAGTTGATCCAAATAGTCATATACTAAAGATTTGTGATTTTGGTTCTGCAAAGAAATTACAAAAAGGAGAACCTAACGTTGCTTATATATGTTCCAGATATTATAGAGCACCCGAATTAATATTTGGAGCAACTGAATATTCAACTGCTATAGATATGTGGTCTATAGGTTGTGTGATAGTCGAAATGACAATTGGTGATCCTTTGTTTCCAGGTGAAAGTGCCACTGATCAATTAGTGGAAATCATTAAAATTCTTGGAACTCCAACTCTTGAATAAGTGAAATTGATGAATCCTATGCATAAGGAATTCAAATTTCCACAAATAAAGAGTCATCCTTGGAATAAAGTAATTAAATTTCATCTTAAATCATATTTAGGTGTTCCAAAAATTTAACCAGATCCTTTGTTTGTGGATTTGATATCTAAAATTATGTTGTACCCTCCTAAAGAAAGATTGAGACCATTAGAAGCTTTTTCTCATCCTTTCTTTAATGAAATTAGGGATGAAAAATTTGGAATTCCAAATGTATAATTAACTAACTTTTTTGACTTTTCAAAAGGTATAAAATAATACCAATTTTTAGAGGAATTATAGATATAACCTGAAATTTCATTTAAGTTAACTCCATAATGGTATTCACAAAAGAGGATATGAACTTAATTATTTTTATAAATGAATCCAATTAGTGTCTACCCTCTTAAATTTAATCATCAAGATTCTATGGCCAATTCTTTTGTGTTCAAACGAAAGCATAACCATCTGATTGTACATACAATTTTCAAATAAAGTATCGCTAAATTAGAATTTAGCCCACCTTTATAACAGAGAAAAAGAAATTAAAAAATTATCCCATATGAGAAGATAAAACATAGAATGAAAAATTTAATATTGTATAAAAGCAGTTTTATTTATCATAAATTACTTAAATTAAGCCTAATTTTAACTATCTAGCGCAAGTATGATAAACCAGATCTCTTCCAATCTCTAAATGATTAAATTATTTATCATTGATATATAATTATTCCAAGTTATTATCTTAAAACAAATTATCATTTTAAATAGGGAAGATTTATTTACCTTATTTTAAATTTAAAGCAAAATTATGAAATAAAAAGTAAAAATTATGTAAAAAATTTGAAATAATAGATAACAAATATACAAAATTAGAGAAATATTTTTAAAGAATTTTTTTTTAAATGAGCAAAGATTTATTATATATATAATTATATAGAATTAGTCATCTTGTGAAATTGACATATCTTTTAGATGAACTACTTGCTCATCTGTATTTATTTCTCGAAATAATTTATGTTGTGTCATTTTTGGAGATCAATATTTGAATAATGTTTTTATTGATAATTAATAGATATTTATTGAATAAGTAAAGGATTCAAATAAGTGGAAAATTGTTGAATTGAGCAATGATCATAATCCTGATATACCATCAGAAAAGAAAAGAATAATTAGCCAGTAAAGGACCAGTTAATCATTTGGGACTGAAAATGGTTAAAAATATTGGGTCAGCAAGAGTTTGGTTGATGCATTAGAATATTTCATGGTAAGCTTTGAGTAGATCAATAGAATGTTGTTGGGGTTATATCATTGATTAATAAAAAAATTCTTATAAATAATTTTTTGAATAAGAATATAATCCAGAATTAATTTATTATAAATTGAATTAGAAATTTTGGTTTTTAGTTATAGCTAGTGATGGATGGAGGATAAATTATACGCAGATTTTGTTGTTCTTAAATGAATGAAAATAAAATTGATGAAATTGTTGAAATTATTGTAAAAGAATCTACTAGAAAATTAAAAGAAGAGGATGAGATAGCTGATGATATTTGATTAATAATTGTTTATTTTTCTTGAATATTTTAATATGTGAGAATTTAAGAATTTCTTTTGGTTATTTTTAATTGATTGATTATTAATTAATAAGGAAGAGATAAAACACAATAATCAGAATTGAATTAAATTCATAATGGGAATACCATTATAGTTACATTGTCTCTTATATAATCACTTGATATTGCTTGATATAACTATTTTGCTAAATTCTTGTTTTGATCAAGTTTCTGAATGATCTATAAAACTTCTTATTCCGAAAGTTCCTAAAATAAATACAAATTATTTACATCCCAAAAACCATCACTAGCCATAACTATGAATTTATCACCTTGTTAGATTTAGTATTTGAAGATTTCTGGTTCACTAATGATGTATTTTTTTAGATGAAAATCTCCAAATGATCTTGTAACAGTTAATGATCCTGATACTCGACATATGTTTTGTCTCTTTGTAATTAAACTAAATAAATAAAAATAATAATTATACCCTCCTTATTTAAGTATTCTCTAATTTTCTTCTTTAGATTAGGGGATATGAATAGAATTTAATTATTTAAATGAATTTTCTCGAAATACAATAGCTTTAGAATCTCCTAGATTTGTTATTGTAACAGTTTTATTTTAAATAGACAATAATATAGCAACCGACCCAGATTACATGTATTAAGTTAAATTGTTATCAATATCACTAAACACTACAAAAATTAGATAATATACAATACCTTTTTTATATTCCTCATCTGACATTTCATTTTGTAATCTTTATAACAAATTCTGCTATAAGTAATCGACAACATGAGAGGAGCCATGGCCATCAAAAATTGCATAATGATTATTCAAAACTTAATACTAAGAATAATTAATTGTTAAATGTTACTCTGTCAAGCATTTCCCTTCTAGATCCACGATTCATATATAAATGATATTTTTCATTTTAATCTTCTAACTCATCAAATGACTCACATAAATCATTCACTACTTGTTGATTTTGCTCATAATTTATTACTATTTCTAAATCCATTATAAAAATAAGTTATTTTTTTTTATTGCTTCAAATTTTAATAATATACTATAAATAGTTAAATTATTGATATTAATTCATTATTGTTGGACTAACTGTAACTTTTGATCTTTTTACATTATCCACATTTATACATATTGACCATTCTAAGCATTTTTTACAATCCAATTATGTTTTAATAAAGTCTATGCATCTAATCGTTTGTTTTGATCTTTATTCAAACTTAAATTAATATTCAAATTTTACCAAATGTTAACGAAATCCCGCATTTCAACACTATATGGATAATTATCTAATTTCGGAGAATCTGATTTCAAAATATTTTGAATCATTTGGATATATGTCATTTACTTATTAGAGACTGAATATGGATGCTTCCCTGTTGCCATTTCATAAATAATCAATCCCAAAGACCATATGTCAGATGCATAAGAATAATTCTTACCTTCTGTTCTTTCTGGAGACCTATAACAAATAACATCAATATCTTACATGTACATCAAAGTACCTACAAAAGTTCTAGCTATTGCAATAGTGTTTTCTAATTATTTACTGATTCCAAAATCTGTCAATTTTATTTATCCTAAACTATTAATGAGAATATTTTCTGGTTTAATATCTCTATGAAGTTAATGCTTCTACTAATGTAAATATTGTAATCCCATTAGAATATTATATGTTATCGTTGCAATTATTTATTCATTAATTAATTCGCTTAAATTATTTTTATAGATTTATTGAATAATGCTTCGTAATGATCCTTGATCCATATATTCAAGTACCAATCTTATGGTTCCTCAAAAATCAATGATAGAGCTACCTTCTTCATAATATGCACCATAAAACTTGATCAATTATTCACATTCGCAACCATTCAAAAGTGTACTTAGATCATTTAACATCTAATGTCTTTTATCCTTATCAAAAACATTAATTATCTGATATAATAACATTAAAAATTAACCTTTAAGGCTACTTAACAATTATAAGGTAAATATAATCCTCTGCAAACATAGCTCGATACTCCTTATCCAATAACATCCCCAACTTTAATTTATTAATGCGTTATTGATTCTTAAGTAATTTGTATCTATTCTCCATTGGTTGTTGTCAATCCTTCATTATTTATTTTAATTCCTGCTTTTGGAAATCTAACACTATTATGCCCACTAATAATAAATAACAATTTAAACATTTCGAATGTCATAGAACTATTTTATTCAAAATTAACTTCAATGTCAAATTCATTTTGCATTTTATATAATATTAATTATAAATTATTATTTATTATCAAAGTAGTTCTGAAAAAAAATTAAGTCCTTAAAATATAAATTATCTAATTAAGCAACTCAATCATTTCTTTTGGTTCATATTTAAAAACTTAATTATCAAGCAATCTTAAATCTTTTAAATAGAAATCGTATTAGCCTTACAACAGTATGGATTTATTATTTTGTCAGGGTAATTTGGATACCAAATATAAAAATCGTATTTATATCTAAAATTATGATGCATATTTAATTATCTATAAATAAGAATTATTATTACCTATTAATTAATTGAGTATATAATGTTTTCACTCACCAATTATGAATTCTTTTTAGTTAACCTCATTTCCCTTATTTGCAGTTTTCATAAATTGAAATCAAATAAATATATGCCAATTTTTGAACAATCTAAAAGTAAGAGATCAGCCTAAAAATGGATTATATAATTTTTAGGTGAATAAGTTAACATAATAATTATATTAAAAAAGAATTTACCTTACAAATTATTTGATTTATGCAAAAAGGAATATAAAAAATATATAAATTTATACTTAAATGAATAAATTATTGATTTAGTATAATTAATTTGCATTTAAAAGGAATATAAAAGAAAAATATTTAGAGAATATAAAATATCATTATAATAATGATTGATAAATTATCTAAATAATGAATACATAATAGATAGATATATATTTTAATCAAAGGTCAATTTTTATATATTCTAATAGTCTCTTGTATTTTAACTCTGCAGAAGGGACAGAGAGATAAACTCTTACTACATTTCAAACAAGTTGCATTGTGTTTACATGGCAATATTAAACAATCTCTTTCTTTTTCAACACAAATTATACACAAGTTTTCACCAGAGATTTCATTAACCTTCATTTTATTTTATTAGCAAATATATTAATTTGTTGTTCCAATTCTTATTATAATCTCTTCATTTGGATCCAAATAAAATAAATTACTCATTTTACCTTCTCCTGATAATCTCATCCAAGATCTAAAATTTAAAATAATTTATTTTATTTACCCATTTGTTGATCCATGATCTTCAATAGTGACAGTTTAATCTACAAGGTAAAATTTGGCATGTTAATTTGATAAATGATGGTCTTCAGGGAATGAAATATCGACAGTGGATTTTCTACCAAGTGCTACTGAAGGTTTATCTTTATTTAATTAAAATATTATGGTATCTTCTAAATTTGGTCCTTCAATAACAAATAAAGAGATCTAAGAATTTTATGGAGTCTTACTTCAATTCCTCCATTTTCTAATTATTCCAATTTCTAAACACAAAATTAATTACTTCCCAATTCTATTAGCATTCCTTATTTTAATGTCAAACATTTTTGTATTTTTATAAAAGTTCCTGTTGTGCTTCCAATATCTTTAAGAGCAAACTAAAATTAATAACAATACTTAAATACCATAGAGTCTTAAAATATTATCTCTGCATGAAATCTACTGATGTTCTCTTCCAAAATTAGAATTTAATTACTAGAATGTCTTCCAATTTTGGCACCTGCTTCTCGAACACAATAAAAATTGGACTATTATCCTTCTATAGGTTATAGTATTAATTGATGTTCAAATTTATTAAATCCTGGTATTTCTTATTTAATAGCTTATTCTTCTTATCTAGCAACTGAACTTGTGAATTGTTCGTTGCCATTATTTTCATGATTCTCCATTAACATTTATTCGAATTGAACATTCCCAACATTTTTTTATATAGTGAAATCTTCATCTTACTATTTTTTGTTGTTTAGATTTGGCATTTTCATTTATTTTATATATTCATTATATTCTTTTAGTCCATGATTTACCCCTAAAATAAAAAACGTAGTTACAATTTAAGAGCTTTCTTTTAATAATTCTTTAAGTAATCCCTAATTCTTCATCTAGATCTTTTTCTGTCAAGTCTTCCAAAACTGCTCCATCAATAGAACATTCAACTATTTTCTTGATATTTAAATACCAAATTTTTATTCCATTTGTCCTAACCCTATAAACTTAAGCCAATTAATGACATCTTGAGTCAACCATTTCTTTGGTTCTTTAGGGATCAATTTATACAAAGACTCATAATCCATTTTTATTTATATTATAAATAATAACTTATCATTCTTAATTTTTATATTTCAGATTGTTATTATAAAAGAGAATAAATCAAACTATGAATATTCATCTTTGAATTAAGAGATGATTATAACACTTAAATATGTAGATAAATTTCATTTAAAGAATGCCAGAATTACAGTGATGTCATCAATTACTTCATCTTCCCTCTACCATGCTTCTTTTGCAGCTTATGTTAATTTATTGCATGCTCCTATTGCATCTCCCTTTTTATAATACTCATTTACTGTTTCAATTACCCATTCATTCGATAAGAATCTTTTTAAATAAATTATTTATAATACTCCCATATACCATCTGATGCAACAACTAAGAATTTATCTGATGGTAATAGTTAATGCTTAATAATTTCAGGTTCACAAATAACTCCTACTTAACTTGCTACATAATCTCCAAAGCTCCTTGACATTGCCAATCCTGGTACATCTTCATCTAATTTCCATACTCTTGCTGGTCCTATTGGATTTCCATCTTCATCACTATATGCTTAAACTCTTCCACCTCTCTGAATTATTCTAGCTTACTCCAAAAAACAATCAGGTTTATGATCTTTGGATAATTCTACTACTTATAATTTAGTATCATATCTTCCTATAATCTAAATATTTTATATTTATATTTACTGCACGACTATCTCCTATGTTTGCACAATAAAGTATGTTTTCAAATGCTATTACAACAACTGTTGTTGCTCCTGAATAAGTCACATCTATGCCAGAATTCAAAAGATCTTCATTTGTTTTCAAAAAAGATTACTTAAAAATGTTATTTATTGTTCTTATATGTAATAATTTAATATCTTACTTATCTCTATCATAATAATAAGGAGCTTCCATTACTTCTTATTCTATATATGCTGGTAGTATTTCTTATACAAATTAGGCTACTTAATGTCCATTGGTTCCATGACCATCAGAAACCTAAAGATACCAATCATTTTCCTTAGTTCCAAATTTTTATATTAATTTATAAGAATCTTAATTAATTTTAGTTTAGCCAGTATAAAGCATTCCAGGTATTGATTTTGCATGTGCTTTTGTTATACAGAGTTAGAGAGTTGAGATATCAGGATTACTAATTGAACGAGGTCCTTTGAATAATTTTTATTTTTATTATTATTGTTATTACTGTTATTATAACTAATTATGTTCTGTTTATTTAGATAAGTCAAGTAATTTTTAATATTATTTTTAAATTAATTACTAATGATATTGTAAAATCTCTTTAGATGTTTATATTTAACCAATTTTATTGTCTGGACGTTCTGCTTTGATTTTTTATAATAATTATAATGCTGATTATGTTAAATTTTATGAATTTTCTTTGGTTTCAATGATTTTACTATTTTAACGAGCATGAGTTTTTTTTAATAAGACTGTGCTTATATCTTTAAGATCCTTTCCACTTGTAGGTCTTGATTTTTTGGCATCAACTTTTAACTATCCTTAATTATTTCTAATTTACAAACAATATCATACCTCAATGAATTAATATATACATTTCCTTATATTACTGGAGATTTCACTATCTTTTATTATTAATCTGATTCATTTTTTTTTTTTAAAAGACTTGCATACAATTTATTAGGAGAAATTTAGGGGGCTTTTTATTTCATTCTAATAACTAAATTAAATTTATTATTCTTTATTTAATTATATATTATATATATATAATAATTCATTTCCTTAAGTTTTTCAATTATTCTTTTATTTGATTGGTACTATTCAAGTATTTTGATCTAGGAATATGATCTTAAGATATCGTTCTTTCAAGTAATGATTATTGTTATTAAGTTAGTATCTTACTCTATTCAGTATTTTAAACCTCAATCTTTACATTACTCAATTTCTAAATATCTAAATTTTATATTATAATCATTTACTTTCATTTTGAAGTTTTGTTTATAAAGTGAATTAATATTTATCAATCAATTTTTGAGTTTCATTTTTTGTAATTCCCTTTGAATTTGGTTTGTTTGTTTCTAATTCCTCATTTTCAAATTTCACTTTAAGTTCTTAACCCTTATCCTTCTCTAATGTTATTGATCTCATTCTATCACTTTTTTAATAACTATCCATTCTCTAATGCAATAGAGGAGATTATAATCTTTCTCCTAAAATATTAGATTGTTTCAATTCCTATTTGAATAGAACTTCAGATTATCTTATATCTTTTGTTTTTATATTTTACATTTCCAAAGACAAATCTTTTGTAGTACTGAAAGCTTTTTTAACGAAATTGTATAATTGTTAGATGTCTTCCTATTTTAATTTACTAATATTGAAATTTGCTTTTGCAATTTTATCATCTTGTAACATTAATTTTGTATCAAAATTTTCTTTAAGTTTATCAAATAATGAATGTAAATCATTAACTCTTTCACTTAATTCATCAATTCTTTCAAATTTTTGATTGAATGACCTAATTCTCTCTTCCAAATGATTGACCTTCTTCAATAGACTTGTTTCATATTACTCCATTCTCTCCTCAATTACTTTTAACTTATATTCTTATTGTTCTTTTAATAACATTTCGAACTAACGATTTATTAAATTTTATATTGTAACATTTCTAATATTAATTAAAATTTCGATGATTATTTTCTCTTCATTTCATAATACTAAACTCAATCAATGAATACTCCATTATTATATCAATTATTTTCTATATTAGTTTACATCAATTTTTTAATATATAGCTATATACACAATTTACTTATGAAATATAATTCAATATCTTTCAAACCATTTATAAATTGTTAATGAAATTATAGATTTAATACATGTTATATAATTATGAGTAGATAACTTCTAAATATTCTAATAAAATCTGTAGCTTTCACTAATATTCTTGATTATATCTTTCTTTTCCATAATCTATGAGAGAAGAAAAGTAATTTTCTTGGTTTTTAAAATTATGAGATTTCAATGATATAACGTATTGGACTGCCAAACATAAATTTAAATGAATAAATCCTAATTTAAAATTAAACACATTATTTTAATATTTAGAAATACTATTTCATATTATTATTCAAAATTGAATCTTATAGATGGGAGTAGATTGATTCTCTATCACAATTATAAGAAATATCATTTACATTCTTCTTTATAGGGATAGTAATCAAAGATATATTTGAATATATCACAATATTATTAAATTAATTTATAAACTAAGTTATTTTTATACTTTTTAGTAGGGCAGTGATATTAGGATAATTGTAATTTATAAGAAATGAAATAGCTAAATAAAAAATCATATGTAATTGAATAAAAAAATGATCATTAGATAGTTATTAAATAAAAAATGTTAAAATGAAAATCCCGTTAGATTTAAGAATTTTTTTTGAAATATAAATTTATATATTATTAAATATAATGTTCATACATTTTAGATGTTAACAAGTTTGTACTTATTATTGATATTTTCAGTTTAACATTTCTATTGTTCTTTTAATGGACATTTTAAATTCTTTTATTGTATGTTATTAAGATAACATTATTCACAAAATAAAAAATGTTGACAAGGAAATTATATTACATTTCTTTCTCTAGTTTAACATTAAAAACATAATAATTGTTTTATCTTTTAAATCTATTGTAATATAATTATATAATATACTTTTATTCTTGTAACTGATGCTTTTGCAATTTTTTCTTCTAATTATTTTTATGTTAATTAAATTTTATTTTTTTTTTCATTACATGTTTGTATTAATTGTTCTTTTTCTTCAAAAAGTATTTTTACTTTATCTTTTAATTTTTTTTATTTTTATTCTTTTTCACTCAAATCAATTTTTAATTCATCTAATCTAGTTAATTATTTTTCAGATTCCATATTTTTCATTTTTTAATAGAATCCAATTAAATTTTCTTCTGCTTACTATAACTTTTTAGTATTGAGTACTAAATATTAATTAACTAAATTTTTATTATTTGAATCATTTTCTCTTAATTTGATTTGTAATTTAACTAATAAATTTTCTTATTAATCTAATTTTTAATTTTTTTTAGTTAAATATTTCAAAACTGAATCTAAATCATCAAAACTATTTTGTAGCTATTATTTTAATCTATTTCCTTTTAATTCTTCCTATTATATTTAATATTCCAATTAGGAAATTATTGGGTCTTATTTCTTTATTTTAATAAAATCCATTGATTTTTCACAAATCATCTATTTAGTCATTATTTTAAAAACACACCATGGTTCATCAAATATAAATTCTTTAATAGGATTATGTATTTCAGGAATCATCAACCAAATAGATTTAGAATTATTAGTTTATATTATTTAAAGGTACATCTCAGGATTTTAATCTATTTTAGATTCACAGAATTCACAAACTTTAGATTCAATCAACAATTATTTGTTAATTGAAATATTATTTTTTTAGAAAAATTATTTAAAACTTTCTGGTGTTATTTTAAATGGATATTCCTTATTAATTTATTCTATGACTTATTTATTAAATAATTTATAATAAGCAGCTTCCATTTTTGTATGTCCGCCTAATAAACTAAATGTTAACCTTGTATTTTTAATCATAGTCTTTGGGTTAAAGTTGTTTTCTACAGTTTTTGGTACAAATAATCTAGGATCACATGATTCAATTATTTCCTACTAAAAGTCATCTCTTTCAGTTTATTCAGAATCATATGTATTTCGTTATTTAGGATGAATAATATCCTTATAGAATCTAATTAACTCTTGAATCTTTGAAGTCCCAGATTTACCTAAAGGAATTGGTTTCTAAAATTGAACTAAAATTTACGTTGACATCTTTGAACAACTATTTGAAATTATCAACCTTACAGAGATGTTGATGCATATCTCTTTCAGTTATCAGTTCAAAAACTTATAAACAAGAAGCACAAAAATAATATTCACTTCAAATATATTCAATATATACTTTCTAGTCTCACCACAATCTTTAATCCTATCATTGATAATATGACATTTCTATAGATGATTGAGGTAATCCCACGCAGATTCAAATTGAATGGCATGGGCTTTTTGAGGACAAGCGAACTTCATTTTGTAGTTACAATAAATTATTAAATTGATGATATTACAAACAATAATTCATCAAGCTCAAAAGATTAGATTAAATTAAGCATTAGAATATATAATGGATCCAAAATTCAAAGGTTTAAATTAAAAAAATATGTTCATTATAAAACAGATTATAAAGACATTTAATCGATATTATAAATTATAAAATATTTGTATTTTATTCTAATAATTTCTTATATTATATATTTCTTTATCCATAATGATGGATTTTAAAAGATAAAAAGCGATAGTTCATCTACATTATATGTATGTGAATAATTTTCGATTTAAAATCTTATTAATAAGAAGAGCTTATTTTGAAAATAGAAAATACATAATATTATTTCATTTAAATGGCATAGAATATAAGAAAGTAATCTTTTTTGTATCTGTATTAATGATATCAAAATTTCTAATTTTTAGCTGTTTGTTTTTAATTTACCTAACAAATTCTTTCGTGATTACTTATTTAGTAATGAATTTTATAGAGATTAGTGCTAATATGTATTGGAATATCATATTAAATGTAATGTCAATATTTAATATCTTAGTAAGCATCCTTTCATTTTTTAGTTAATCTTTTTCCATAAATTAATTAAAATGCTGTTACACGTTCGCACTAGCAGTGGTTATCGAGAATCGTTGCGTAAAAGTTTAAGTAGAAAGAGAGAACGCATTCTCTCATTTTAATAGATATCTAGACCAGAATTGGCTGATCTCAGCAATTAATGTACATTAAAGTTTGACAAAAATGAAACAAAACTTGAATAAAGAAAATCTAAAGTAAAGAATATGAAACAAAACTCATATAAAAAGAAACCAAAGGTGAAATTGTCTTATGTTCCAGAGATGACTCTTTATTAGAAAATATTGTAAAAATACTTCTGATTTATATTATATATAAAAAATACAATTTTAATGTTCTATTATAATAATGTTTTTTTTTTATCATATTATTTATTTAGATATTCTTATTTTTGTAATATATATAAGTAATATTTGAAAATATAGAAGGTATAAAAAAATAATAATAAAAAGAAAACAGAAAAGATAATCCATAAATATAAATATTAGTCATTTTCCAGTCTTTTAATCTGGATTATTAGCATTGATTGCTTTGATAATAATTTCTTTAAACTCTTAAAAGGATATCTTAAAATAAATAAAATTAATACAGATCCATCACCATTTGCATCAACTTCTGCCAATAATTCCTTCCATACTTCATCACTAACAGCTGCTTCATTACATCCAAATATTCCTTTGATTTCATCAATTGATATTGAACCACTACCATCTTTATCAAACATTCTAAATGCTTATTCTAATCTTGCATCTTCAATAAGTTTCACCTTATTAAATGTAGCCAAAACAAATTCTATATATAATTATATATACATATCTTACCTGAATAATCAATACTTCCATTTTTATCTTAATCTATATATTTCATTAATTTAGTCACTTCTAATTCTGCATCTGTATAACTCATTACTTTTGAATATCCTATCATATATATATATATTATTAAATACCAATAATTAATTCTTCTTTTGAAAGTCTTCCATCTCCATTTAAATCAAGTGCTTAAAATTATTATAATAATTCTTATTTCTCTTAACTTGTAGCCATTTGATTAACCATGAAAGTTAATGCAGCCTCTTAGAATTTCTTTTCCACTCTGAAATTTCTTAAATTATTTAAAACTTTTGTTAATTAAGGTAAATTCATCTCAGTCTTTTTAACATATGTAGTTATCCATGGATCTCTTTAAGCTGATTCAGCACTAATCCTCTTTTTAGGATCTCTTTCTAACATTTTTGTAATCAGTAATTTTGCTTCATATGAAATTTAATTCCATTCTTCTCCATCAAATGTTAATTAACCTTCTCTAACATTTTCTAAAATCTCTTCATCATTTTCACCATTAAATGGTGGAAGTCCACAAAGTAAAATATATAATATCACACCACATGACCATACATCACATTTTTCATCATATTTTCTTTCCAAAACTTCAGGTGCTATATAATAAGGCTTTTTTTTAATTAAATATATTTATACAGTTCCCAATTTCTAATTCATTTTGTAACCTGCTTCAAATACTCTACTAGTACCAAAATCTACTATCTTTAATAGTGCTTAAGGCTTATTTGCCTCATATAAAATGTTCTCTGGTTTCAAATCTCTAATTCATTAATATATAATTATAAACCTATGTACTATCTTACTTTTATGAAGATAATTAACAGCACTAAGAATTTGTTTCATAGTCTCTGCTGCCTTTCTCTCAGAGAAAGCTTATTGATCTTAAATTTTATCAAAAAGTTCTCCTCCTGTACACAATTCTGTTACTATATATATATTTTTATGATCCTGATAGAACTCATAAATTTTTATTATGTTTGGATGATCCTTTTGTTTTAATTAAGTGTTACTAATCGTTTTAAGATTTCAATCTCTATTCTCAATCTTTCTACTTCTGCTTTGCTTGCTTTTTCTTTCGAAATTACTTTTATAGCTCTAATTTGATTTGTAACTTTATGGATGCCCTTTCTGACTTCTCCAAATGCCCCTAAGTATATTAATTAATTAAAACCTTTTCCAATAGGAGGTTTAAGGAGAGTATAATCATTTAATATTGATCCTTGTTTTTCAGCAACCATGCCTGACGTAGAAATTTAGAAATGAGCAACATCCTTAACTAAGTGTAAAATAAGTTTAACTACTCTTGTTTGGATTATCAACTTCCACAGGTTTACCAGATCCACAACCCATATCAAAATATAATATGATATAAAAATAACTAAATAATCTGAATAAATTGAGCTTAATTATACATAATAACATCTTTATTCAGAAATTAGTAATTTTTATAATATTCTCATACATATAGTAATGATATATATTTTTAAAGAGGAAAAAAGCTAATAATTTGAATAATTACTTAATTAATTATACAATTTGTAATTAATAAAATTTACTTGATAATTCATCCTTTTGGCTAGAATGGTCGAATATATCATAATAGATGACAAAATTATATTTAGTTGATAGATTATTAAATTAAATATTTTGAAATAATTATCATAAAATTTATTATATTATGTTGATGATACTAAAAATTTGTCTATTAGATAATATCATTACAATTAAAAATATTTATATATCAATTTTTAATACGAAAATTAAAAAATTCATATATATTAAATAGAATTCATTATAACTTATTAAGTCTATTTGTAATTATATTTTTTATTCAAGTTCATATATATATATAAATTATAAACTTTTCAATAATTCTTAACAATTATTTTAAAATATTTAAATTAAAAATTTACTTGTTGTATAAAAATTATAAATAGATTATTTATTATAGAAATTCATTTTTTATTTTATTACAATATTGAATTCAATTTTTTAGCTATTTAATCATCCAATTTAAGTTTTTCTTTTAATTTATTTATTTCATTTTCATCATCAAGATCACTCATTTCTTATTGTGTTTCTTCAGTTTCTTCTTTTCTAACAGTTGATTAAAGATCTAATTCATCAATACATTAAATGTTATCAGTAAAGATCACTCCTTCATTTGATCTTTTAATCCAAGGAGCTTCTGGTTTATTCTCTACAACTTTAGGCTTTAAAAATAAAGAGTTTAATTACAGATATTTTTTAAAGTAATTGCTCATCAAATAATATAGGTTATGAAGGAAATTCAACAATTGGTAAACAAAATGACATTCTAATTAATAAAGAATACTTTTTCAAAGAAATTTAGATAGCAGGATAAATTGAACATAATCGATTATGTTAAGGGAATAATTAGAATTCCTGTATTTAAGAAAACTTTTCTTAAGGAGGTTTATCTAATAGATCATCACGTAATAATTCCATTAAAATCTATAATTGAATTTTAAATTCAATTTAAGTTAAATGCTCATGAAGCAAAGTAAGTGTTTCTAAAGCTTCATCTATATTGTCTAACATCACATCTACAATGGCACTATTATATAGATGTTCATATATATTATAAGTTTTATTGATGAAATCAAAATCTTCAAGATTATTCTAATTAATTAATTAAGCATTTTTAGATTTCTTGATTTCCTTTTCTTTTAAATCATATGAAAAACGAAGACATTATTTTGCTTTTAAATATTACCCCAAATATGTATAAAATAAAGCTTTATAGAAATAGATATCAGATGATCTGAATATCAATCCTTCCTATTACATTTTTTAGATTTATATTATTTTATTAATACTTTCTTCTAAAATATTTGTTGATATTTATAAACTAGTTTCTTTGAGTATTGTTAATACTTATTAATCAATTAATGCCTCTTGATTATGCATTTCTTCTGCAATCATAGTAAGTTCTTTGAGTGCTGAATTCAATTCTTTTCCATATATAAATACTTTAACTTTTTCATAATTACCTTCAAGAGTCTTACAATTATTAAAAGCTTGAATAGCTTCATCATAGGCTCCAATTAAAAAATATAGAATTCCTACAGTATAATAGTTAATTGAGTATTGCTCCCTTAATTCAACATACTTTTATAGATCTAAGTAAGCAGTGGAAACATCTCCCATCATTATTAATAATTTACATCTATTCAAATAAGATTGTGAATGATTTTAATCTAAACTTAAACATATTGAAAAATCATTGATTGCTTATTTAAATAGTTATCTTTAACAATGAAGTAATCCTCTTACATAATAATGTTATGCATGGTTATCTTCAGACTTTTCAATAGCTTGTTCAATATCTAATGCAGATTTCTCTATATTTCCAAAAGCAAAATGTAAGATTCCTTTGTAGAATAACAAATTTGATTATTCACATATTTATGATGCTACTTCAAGTAAATTTAATGCATTTTTTAGATATTTGATCCTATTTTCTTCACTTGATTTTTCAAGACTTGAACAATATTTTTTTATTTGAATTATGGATTAATAAAATAATGGTTCTATTTTATTAGGAAGTATTTTATGAGCAAGTTAAAATTATTTTTTACTTTATTCTAGTTCATTATCTTCATATTTAATTATACCATGACAGAGAAATTTATTATAAAGAGATGCCTATAATATTTTAATATATTTACTTTTTCCAAAAGATTTTCTTAATATAATTCTAAATCCTGGTTGGCTAAATTGAATTTTGACAAACAAAAATATCCAAATGCTCTATATTGATGGGCTTATAATTTTAGATTGTCACTTTAATGATTTTTAGTTATCATTTCAGTTAATAAATAAACACCATCTTCAAAATTTCTTTTCATTAAACAAATAACTCCTCCAACAAAGAGTTCAAACTTTTATAATTATTTATTATCCACATCAAGATAGATTACTCTATCAAGTTCATGTTAAGCAGAATAATAATCATTTTAATCAATCTTTATTTTCACAATTTCATAGAGAGATTTAGTAACTGGTTTTTTATCACTATTAATTTTAATTGACTATTCAAATGCCAAAAGAGCATCTTAAAAACTTTCTAAAAATCATATAAATTAATTACTCTACTTTTGCATTAAAATTCCTTTAAAATAATAAACTTCTGAATCATTTTGACAAATTTCAAATAATAAATTCATATCTTATTTGGCTTTATCAAATTCTTTATTGTCTAAATAAATTGTGAATCGTTTTAATAAAATAGATTTTTATTTTGACTATTCTTCAAATTCAAGTGCCTTATTCAACTCTTCAATAGCTTACTAAATTTGATTTATTTATTTGTAACACTCACTTAATCCAACATAACAAACAGATTTTCTTGGATTAATTGATATTGCTAAATTAAAGTCTTTAATTGCTTTTTCATAATTCTTAATTTTAATAAATAATTTAGCTCTAAATGTCAAAGCTTCAAAATATCTGTTGAAATGACTAATACCTTAAGATATTATATGTATAGCTTCATTAATTAGATTATTTTTTTTTAGATAATGAGCTAAATACATATAAGATATTCTTTTAAATCTTGGAAATGTAGTAATTAGAGTTGAAAATTACTCAATATATTTTTCTTCTTAATCTAGACTAATGTAACATAATCCTGATAAATATAATGCTTCTGGATTTAATCCATATTTGTTTAAGTAATTTAAAAATTTTTTTTATGCTTCTTCAATTTTATTTTCTATAAATAGTTTCTTGCCTTCATCCAATTCACTATTTGTAGTAATTTCATTTTAAACAATATTGTTTCTAGTGTTGTCATCAAGATGTTAATTAAAACTATCATCTTTATATTGGTGAACTAATTACTAATATGAGAACTGACTGAATGAATTTTCTTTATTCTATTACTTGATGAACGATTAATTTAAGGATTTAAATAGTTTGTAGAATCATATATAATTCGTTTATTTGATTATCTATATTAATTTAGTTGTTAATGAGTTCCATTTCCACTTATATGTTAATTAATTGATTTGTTTTTTATTCTTCTTACTTCAGTAGTAGGATTTTATTATAACACTTTTGGTGGTAATTCTGAGAGTTTTACTTAATTAATTACTTCCAACATGAGGTTGACTACCCAATTTTAAGACTAGAATAGGAGGTTCCTTTTAATTAATTTTGGTATGTCTAGACTCTCTCAATATTAATGGTCTTGCAAGCCTATTGCTTAAATTATATTTTACATTTTGTTAGAACTTTATTTGAAAATTATGAAAATATAAATATTAATTATTTTAAATCAATAATGTAAGGGATAGTATACTTTAATATTTTGTAACATATATATCAATTTATATCGTAATACTCATACTTATCAATAAAGAAAATGAAGTTATCTATAAAATGTTTATAGTAAAAGAATTAGTTTAATATATTTGAAGTATAAATTAGAGAGGATTAATTTTAAAGAATATTTGAAGCAATAAAAATATTTACAAAAGTTATGATTTTAAATTTAATTTAAAATATAATATTCAAGCCATATAATTTTGAAATTATATAATCATGATATTATAATAGATTATAATCAATCGAAAATAATACAAAATTATAATTTAACTTTTCCATATAGTATAAAGTTATACTGTATTCAAATGTTGATAAAATAAAAATTAAAAAAAAAAATCAATCATTTAATTAAGATATTATAGTTGCTCCTCTTAAGGTTCAATACTCTAGTTTCTATTTATTACTCATCAAATCCTAGAATATAAATATATATTTCAATTATTAAAACGAAATTTGTAGATTAACCTGTAGTTGAGAGATATTTGAAGTTTTATAACAAGGGCAAGTAAATATTGATTACATAATATTACTTATAATATTCTTCACCAATCTATTATTCCTCGATTGGTTAGAAATACATCATGACAGAGATTAATAAATTTAACCTACTTATTATTCAATTAAAGTTTTCATGTTAATAATCCAATTGCGCTTCTTCCAAATAAAGACCATATACATATACTCCATCTTTAATTTCATCTCTGATTCTATCTTATTCTATATCCAACACTTTAAATTTGAAATTAAGTTTATTAATTGGAATCTTGTATTTTCTAGAATGTATTTACAATACTCCAGATTATTCAATTAATTATGGTTTTATCTCTTGCATTTCAACTTTTAAAATTGCCGCTGTCTCATTAGCCTTGAATAATTTATACAATCAATCAGCTAATTTTATTTAAACCAATCCATGTTCTTATTATTTTTAAATTAATAAATAAGCATAAAGTTATATTTAATCTAAATATGATTTAGGTTTTGTATAGATGTGTAAATTTCATTTTTTTGCCATTATTATTAAGATTATATATATGATTTGTAAACAAGATAAAATTCTGCCATATATCATCCTTATTAACACTAAAGTACAGATTCAATAATTCATAATTATACTTAACCTAATGAATAATTCACCTTCTGTATTCTAATACCAAAGTTTATCTTAAACACTTATCAAACGATCATAAAAGACTCTTGCACATTAATGAACTCATAATTTGGCCATTGTATTATTACTATTATTACATGATATAGATCTGATTATCAATAAACCTTAAAATACTTTGCTAATATCTCTTGAATTAAAATTATCAAGAAATTTTGCTGGTAATGGTAATAATTGTTAAGATATTCATCTAAATAATTCAACTGCTATTCTAGTAATTTAATCACTCGTTTTCCTCAAAATAGATCCATAAATCATCTCCAATATAGAATCAGATTACTATAACATATTTAAAACATTGAATTATTTAACAAATCTTGAAGATAATTGATTTCTTCAACCTCCAGGAGGTCCACCAGCTATCAATAGAGTTACATCTTCAATATTTTACAAAAATAATTTTGTACGATCAAAAGTTCCTTATAATTCAATCATCTATCGTAAAAGTTCAATATAAGGCTAAGCATCATATTTTTCAACAGCTATTTCATTTTATATAACAATGATTATACTAACATTGACTTACCAACTTCTGTCTATCCAGTAATTAAAAGTAGGTTTTTTATTCTCTAATTAATAATTACATTATTTATTTAAATTTGAAAGTGTCTACTGTTTAAACAACAATACTGAAAAAATATTGAACTTTTACAAATTACAATTCTTATAATTGAGATTCCCATTATTTTAATGTAGTAAAATCATTTCCATCAACATAGAAATCAAAAATAATATCACCTTTCGGGTAGAGTAATGATTAAAAGAGGTCGTTAACATATGTGGCAATCTAAAATAATAATTAATAGGAAATAATAATATATATATTATGATATCTATGATTTAATTGAATGTTCCTAATAGTAATTTAAACAAAGTGAAAACTGTAACATTTCATTTAATTACATCTAGGATTTAATTTCTGCAGGTACCTAATCCCATCTATTTATAAACTCAAACAGATAGGGGCTAAATTCACTGCAAAATTAAGATAGTTGAAATAATATAAAACAATTTACCTTATCATAATATTTCTATTCATATGATTAACACAATCCCCAAATAAAACTGTATGCAAATACACTTGTAATTTATTTTGGTAAATCAGTAGATTTCTAAACTAAAATGGACTTTAAAAAGAAAGTAAATATATTGTAAACACTCTTCACTCTCTATAACTCTATTGTAATAATTGGTTCATCAAGATTATCATATTTCTCTTACAAAAATTTATATTAAGAATTAAATAAATTTCTTATTAAATCTAAATATTTTGCTTCTATTTAGAGTGATTTCTTTGACTTATCCTTTAATTGATTATAAGTTTTAATTAAGCCCTTCTCTTAATCATAGAATACATCTCTCAATAACTTATATCTAATCTAATCCATCACAAAATGCCTCTTAAATTTTAATAAGGAATTCTCTTTTTGATGGATACACTTCTAATTATGTTTTCATAAAGGTTTTAAACTTCTCTATTACATAAAAATTCAAGATCTTCTATTTAATCTTCCTATAGTTCTATTTATTTTTATTATTTAGAATTCTAATTATTTTATTGTTTCTTTACTACTTACTCATAAATTTATAAAATAATATGAATTTTAATTAATATTACTTTCTCCTTTTTTAATCTAATACACTCTGATAAATCAATATTTTTTTCTATTTTCAATGGCACATGATCATCATCTGATTATTTCTCTTAATTGATTTATTATCTTGATTTTTCAATAATTGTTTTAAGTCCTCATAATCAATTTTCTTTCATTTTCCTTGATTAAATTTAGATTTTCTATACTAATTTATATCTCTATTCTATTATAATTAACTAAATTCTTGCAAACTCAAGTATTAGTTTTTTTTTATCATTCAATAAATTTTCTATTTTATCTACATCTACAATTTTAAGTGCTATATATAAAACATAGACTTCTATGTGAAACTTTTAATTTTTAATAGATTGGATTTAAATTCAACAACTTTTTACAAAGTTAAGCTTAAATAATAGAAGTTTTATGTAAATGTAATATTTTTTGCCATTTCTTTAAAGTCTTCCATTTACGAAACTTCTTAAAAAAATTTAATGATTTAGTTGCTTTAAATTAATCTCTTTCTTCTAATCAGGTATTTAATGAAACATATTCAATTGTAAAAATTATGATCTTGGCTGAAAATGTATAAAAATTATTAAAATAATGCTTTTGAATATATGGATAATTAACTATCCTCATATTATATGCATCATTTGAATGTTTCTTACTTTTTATCAAATACATGAATTCTTATTAACTTAATTTATGCTCTTTAATCATTGAAATAAATGCATCAACATCTTTCATTCCAAAATTGCCATCCTCTTCACCAGATTCCTCTGAGCTTTCTGAAACCTAAGATATAGATGTTTTATTCAAAATCTCTTTCCTCAATTATTATGCTCTAATTTTTTTTTTGGAGCTATTCTATTATCTATTATCTCTTGTCACAGTCATGCGAGTATTATCCAAAATGTTACTTGGCAACACTTAGATAGTCTTCTAAACTTCTTTTGGTGGACTTAGAGGATTCATTCTTATAATCATTCAATCCATCAAATCATAAACATGAAAAGACTTTAATAATCGTTTTCCATCTAAGAATATATCATTAGTTAAATCAAAGTTTTATTTTATTTTGGAAATGAGTCATTATCTAAATTGAATCTAATCAATATTTCATTATTACTGTTCTAAGATTTCTCTCTAGTTTGATTTAAACATGCTATTCCTGACTTTTGATAAGAGAAACTACATTTCTCATGTATCGAAGACAATTGATCAGGTACATTCTCAATATTAGTCATTGTCAAATTCATCTATACTCTGTTTGCTATCTTAACAGTAAGTGGTCTTTTATTAGTATTGCTCTAAGGTGGTTTCCCTCTATCAAAGAGATGACTGGCGAGCTTTATTTTAGCACTCTCTGGTTACATCCATAATTAATTTAAAATAAGTATTATATTAAATACTAAGTACTAATACCATCTTCTGATCAACAAAAAATAATATTAATCTTACCCCCTTAATCAATAATGACAATCCTAAATTCAATTAATTAACACAATTAAATTCAAATTAATAAAATTTAAAGTAGATCAATAATCTATCATTTAAAACTATTGAATTAACCACAAAAATTTTATCTTATGTGATTTACTATCCACTATAATGTATAATCTACGCACTCCTACATAGAATAATAAAAATCAGTTCTAATACTAATCCATTATCTTTCAAAATTAATTCATTTTTAATTCTCACAACTCCTTAAGTCATACATTTTTTTATTAAATATTTCAATCAATTAAAAATTAGTATATTTTCATTCATTTATATATTAATCCATAGAAATTTAATGTTATACTAATTAAACTATCTTGGATTATATTTAAAATATGTATATACTTATTATAATCCATAATTAGAATGTATTATTTATAAATATATTATAAATTATCAATTCATTAATAATTTTAATCAAAATAATTTTTATCATGATAGTCTCTCTTTAAAATACATAATGGTGAGAATACTTTTTGAGTTGTCTTTATAATACAAAATATAATTAACAAAATTAATTTCATATTTGGGATAATGGTTCAACTAATAATTTTTATTAATCTAGAGGTTGAGTTAATGGAGTGTGTTCTTCAAAATGTTTCAATTTTAAGTGCTATTTTAAGGCTGCTTTTGAGGAATAAGTGTGAGTGCAAATTGAACATTTAAATGGTTTTGTAATTGAATTTTTTCTTGAGATTCGTTTATTTATTACCTAATAAAATTAAATTACTACAAATATATAAATATAATAGCAAAGAAAGAATAATATATTAACATGTAAGTTCTATTATTACCTCATCATCAGAAATCTTTTTTTTAAGTTTTACAATACTTTTTTGTGTATTTTCAACTTAAAATCTAAGGAACTACTGGAGTAGATGTGATTTTCTAACTTCAAGTTTATAATTGATTTTTTAATCATATTCTTGTTCTTAAACTAATTAGAATAATTATTTTTACTTTCATTATCTCCAATTGTTCTTGGAGTTGAGTGATCAATTGATTCTATGAACATTGATTTTTAATAAATTTAAACAATAATTTATTTATGCTTTTTATTTATAAAAGATCATTTAATTAATTTGAATGTGTTATTTATAAATTTATAAATAATTGCAATTATTTGATAAATCATTTTTATGATGCTATTCCAATTATGTATTTGCATATAATTAAACTATAAATAAGTTTCTAAAATATTTATATGATATATTAAATTTAATTAACTAGATTTTCCTGTTTTTTTAAGTGATGATATAGCCAGTGTTTAAATTGAATTTATAGCTTAAATAAATTTAGATATAGCTAACCAAAGTTAAGATCTTCATTGAAAAATGTTTTATTTTTAATAAAGACAATCAAATTATTGTTAAAACTTAATGAGTTTTTTTAAGTGATTATGTTTAGGTGATAAATTCAATTATTTTCACCATTTATCTATCTAAACTAAAATCAAGATTTTTTATATCTTGTTTTACCTAAAAATATTAATTTTATTTCAGATCTAACTAGATAATCAATTATAAATATAGTATTTTAATTAAAATTGGTACTTATTTTTAGAGAGAGTTAACATTTTTCAATAAAGTTATCTAAATGAAGTTAAATATTTGATTGAATCAATTTTAGATAATAATAATGATAAGTGTTTAATTTAAAAACTATTTCAAACACTTATTTATAGTTACGAATTTCCTTTAAATTGATATATATGTTTTAATAGAAGATCATTTAGATTATTATTATTGAAACTACCAATTATTTTTACATTGTTATAAACACATTAATTTTATATATATTAAATAAACGTAAATTAGAAATTTGAATCGTTCCTCAGGATAAAACATGAGAATGAGTATCATGCTAATATTAAGTTAAACAAATACCCAAGAATAAAGAATTGACTTGGTACTTAACCCCATATGTTTCATTAAATACTACATCTAAATAGGATAGATTGATCATATAAATTAATCTTAAAATTGAATTAAGTAGATCATACATTTAAAAAAACAAAATGGATTGGGTTAGAATTAGTCTTAGTATTGGAATCTATCAGATATTGAAGTTGATTTTTAGATAAGAAATAATATATATTAAACATTCTTAGATGAGGTTGCTTATTGATATAATTAAAAGATCTTAGAATTTGCCTTAATGAAAAGATTATATAGATATAAAACAAGCATATAATCATTTTTATGATAAACTGTTATAATTTTATCATTAATTGCCATATTATCTTAATAATTATATCTGGTTTCTAAATTCGTATCATTATTTATCAATAAATATTTCATATTCTATAAATACTATTAAGTATAATAGTTTAATATTTTGTTATTTGGTTAGAATTATGCAAATAACAATTAATAAAATATGGAAGTATTTATTTGTAATATTTTATAAAGAAAGAAGGCTTCTGTATGATTAGTATATGATTATATAATGTTTATAGTATATTGATTAGTATAATAAAATATTAAATATTGATATTGCATTAATTAATTTATTTTGGATGTCTTAAATCTTGAAGAAGGCAGCTAAATACAGAACTGTATCTACGATACTCCAACATGGGGAAGCTCATTTACGTGATCCATATACACTACCTCCTGAGATCATTACTCCACCTCCACGTAATTATTGTCAACATTAATAAATTTAGCCAGAAAAGAAAGAAAGCCAGATGATATTACTGATTTCCCAGAGTAAAAATTTGTACTTCTACCTGAATCCATCCCATATCCTGAAGGAAAGTACCGTCCTGCATCAGTACCTTATGTTTCTGGTTTCTATCCTTATAATTGTTATCTATAGAAGGGAAAGGTATTTTGAATTAGCTAAATTAAGATTTACCAATGGTGTTCATGTGGTATTTCATAATCTAATCCTTGGTGTGATGGAATGTGTAATGCATCAGCAACAAGAAATAGACCAATTAAATTCAATGTCGATACTTCTGGATATTATAAATTATGTAATTGCAAATAGAGTGCAAATGCTCCTTTCTGTAACGGAACACATAGGTAAAGAGTAGTTAAATTTCAAGATAAGTGATTCGTCAATATCATGCTGGTTTTAGAGGATTCTATGAACTTTGGGGATGGGCTGCCTTTATGGGAACAACAGGATTCATAATTTGGAATTTCCATAATTGAAAGCTAAATATCATTAGAACAACAATATTATCAAAAATAAAATTTCACTAACTTTATTCCCTTTTAATCACTCTTTCTTTCAAATTTTTCACTTAATATTTTTATAAAAATTGTATAGATTGCTTAACAACTTATTTAGTAAAATATTCAATAACTCATTTTCATATATATAAATCCTTAAACTCAAGACTTATTGAGCTTTTAGAAATTTCTTATTCCATAAAAATCCCTCTCTCTAAATGCAAACATTTCATTTTAATTATTCCTCTTTTTTATATAAAAATCAAGCTTCTTATTTTGGAAATCCTTAAAATGAAAAATAAGAAAAAAGAATTAAAAAAATCAATCTCTTATCATATCCATAAAATAACTATTACCATATATTCTTGAATAAAGCCTATATTAAATAATAGTAATGAATCAATTATAATATATTAATATAATAAAAAAATCATTTTATGAATATTAGATTCATTAATTTATCAATTATCTTTGCTATCTTATGTAATGCTTATTTAGGTTGGTTTTCAACTAATAGTTTGAAATGCATAATATGATCATTTAAGTAACTAAAAGAAAATACATCATTAATTTAATGACAAGTTTTCCAATTTATACAAATTACTTATACTTCATTGTATAATAAAGAAATTATGAAAATATATGGTTTTTTAAATGTTTTTATTTATAATCTAATAGGTTTTTATATTTTATTAGATAATTTTTATGTTTTTAATGAGTTTAAATTGGGAATTGTATGATATTGACTTAAATTTAAGAAGTTTTAAGTCTTAATTTTATGTATCATATAATAACATATACTAATAATATCTGAATGATTAAGCTTAGAATTCATATAATTAGTTTAATATTTGTAAAAACCATCTGCTATATATAAATTAAGTAATTCTCTTAAATTAATTTATTCTTTGACTTCTGTAAATTTATTATATGAGAAATACTTCAATTCAATATTGAAATTAGATGTATTAGCATAATTGATGGCATCAAAAGGAAAGAAAATACAAGTACGTTTTAAATATTTAATCTATTCCTCATTTAATTTAGCTTCACTAATTATACTAGGGAATTTATTATTATGTAAATTTAATTAATTTATTTTCCCTTTAAGAAGAGCAATACCTTTTAATTGATCAGTCTTTTATGAATATTTCATATAAAATTCAATGTGTGATTCACCAACTCTTTCAATTCTAATATAACGTTAAAATAGGAGTTCTTATAGATTGATTTCTTTTTAATCAAATAAAAGTGATAAAAAACAATTTTATTATTTAGGATGTTATTCTAATGAAAAATTATTATTGATAATATTGACCCAAATTAATTTCTCTTTAACAATATATTATTCCTTATTTCCATTATCTAGATGATATTCAGTAAAATCAGTAACTAATTTAGTAAGATAAAAGAAATCATTTAAATAGTAAGGAATAGCTGAAGATTAGGCCATTTGATTTTAAGCATAAATACTAGAGACAGCTGGTGAATGAAATTATGATATTTTATTTTAGCTCCATCTATGATTTGATTTTTACATATTAACACTTTATCTAGGTGTGATATCTGTAAATGAATCTAAATCTTTAAAACTCATAATTGTTTGTTTCTTATATATTATGATACTATCCATTAAATCTTTGCTGTCATTTTCTTTAAAATCTTCTGATTTCAATAGACCTAACATTTATCTAGTTGTTTTTGGAACATAAACTTTAATAATCCAAATGTCCAATAATAAATGTCTGTAAATTTAGATTATAACATAATCTATCATTTATTGTTAATCATTTAATAATTAAGAAATTTTATTATTTGATATTTTAATCAATTATCCAGTTGATATTGAATGTATCAAATAAGACTTTTTGATGTGAGTAACAATTAATCTACTATTTTTTATATAATGTTCTAAGAAGCCTTTACAAAGATCAGATTTTTTGAATGTTGTATTTTCAGGGAAATTGCCTATTCTTCTAATTTATTGAACATTAATTTTAGTAGAATGATCTTCATATGAATTATGTGTAATTTAACTTTCATTTTATTTTAGATCATCTTGATTAACAGCAAAAAATGGAACATAACTTAATGTAAATGTTCCTAAATGACATTTTTAAAATATATTCATAGCAGTTTAAACAATATTTGCATCAGTCATATTTTATGGTATATCTATTTTTAACATTTCTGTAATATCATATTTATTAAAGATCATTTTCATCATTCCAGTTTTTAACATAATATTTTAAAAATCTATTCTCATTAAAAAATAATCATTCTCATTTAGAATATCTGGTTTTTAACATCTAAAGAATACTTTAATTGTTATTTAATATTTTCCATAATTTTTAATTTTCTAAACTATCACAAATTATTTCAAAGTAAAATATTTTAATAATACCATATAATTATTTAAAATATAATAATGTAATACATTATAAGAAGGTATTTCTGCTAATTAACTTTTTGATTTTTTATATTTCAATAATTCAAATCCATCAGATAATTATGAACTAATGAAAGATTATTTTAAAGCTCTTTGGCTTATTTTCTTATAAAGCATTTAAACAATCCAACAAGTAGGTCCATTTTAAATAAGTTAAATTATATTAGATAATATATTGTCTTCTTCATCAATAGGTGTTATTTGTAATCTTTACAATTTTTAATTATAATGATAAATTAATATTATTTATTTATCAATCAAGGATATTTGAATAGCAAGATGTTTTAATTATATTCTATATTTTAAAATTTTATTTAGCTATAAGTTTTATTTACTAAAAAATTAAGACTCCAATTTTTCTAAATCATCATTATGTACATCAGTAAAGGGATTTTCTTAATAAATTATAATGGGACCTACTTTTTTTGTATCAATTTCTTATTTTACTTCAGCATTAATATTTACTTAATATCGTTTTACTAAGTCAATTAAAGTAGTTTAATGAAAATGTTATTATTCATTATTTGAAATATCTTCACCAAATATTTAAGCAAAATGTTTATCAAACATATGTTCTCTATTGTGAATAGTTTATGATTTAGATTAATAATCTAATTTTTTTTAGGTATCATCATAAATGTATCTTTCTATTTCTGTAATAGCAAAAGGTTTTACTTTTGTTTATAAATCAATGAGAAAACCTAATTTCATTCCACAAGCTTCCATTTTTTAAGCATCATGTAAGGAAAATATATTCATTCTAACTTAAAGTTACTTTTATTCATTAATCATCAATTTTTAATCTATAAATTCATAAAACATATTCAAACATTTCCTTTAAGAGAAAAATATTTAATTTATAATCTATTTTAAATTATTATGATATCTTTTCTCTAATATTTTTTCTATTGCATCAAATTATAATCTTAATGGTTTAATCTTTATTGGACTATTGATTGCCTCAAATAATACATCTACTTAATATTTTGTATGGTAATCATTTTTTTTATAGTACAATATACTAATTCATAATTATTTATTATTACTTTTCTTTCTATAATATAATACTGACTCTTATAATAAAAAATATATTTTCTTCATCATTTGTTATACTTAAATTTCTTAGGTTTACTAATTATTTATGTATCATATATTATTAATCCTTTTATTTATTTATCTTAAAATTTAGTATTCTATTCAAAAGAATAATATTATTTTTTATACATTCTATTATATTAAATAATATAATACCTCCATAACTTCGAATTAATAAATGGAATTTATCTTTCTCATCACAAAGAGTTGATTATATTATCATTCTTCTATATAGATTTACTACATTAATTAATTCTCTATAAGCATTCAAAGTCTTGTCTTTCTCTACTGTATATAATTTCAATCTAATCCCTGTAATATTGATTTATTCATATAAATAAGTTGTATACATCCATCTAAATAAATCCTTTAAGATTCCCATTTATTCTATTTCATTTTTAGCAAGTTCAAATTAATAATTAGGAAACTTAATAAAATTGTAATTATCACTTTTTCTATTACTCATTATTGAATTATAATGCAAATACTATAAACATTAAGATGTTTATAATTAATATTCATTTACAAAAACTTCAATTATCTAAGCCCAATTCTTAGTATTATCAATTTATAAATTTTATAATTTTGCCCTATATACAATCTTATTATTTGTTGTATCCTAAAATCCAATAAGAATATTATCAGATGATGTTATTTATAATCCACATAACCATTAAATTGTTCTACTATGATAGCACAATGAGAATTGAAATTTTGGAATATAAGCATTAGATTATTCCATAAAAAATGTTGTTGCAGTCCTTAATGTTAATACATTTCTTCTTTAAGGTCGTTTACCATTAATTTGAGGATTTTGTTATTGGAATAATAATGCCTATTATTATACTGACTATGGTAATGTAATTGTTATCTATGATTTAGTAGGTACACTTTCTAGACTAGATTTTTAAATGGCTTAACTAATTTGAGATGCTGCATCAGGTGAACTTACTACCATTCCACTTCTTCTTCTTTCTGAATTCAATGGATCTGGTTCTTTTTAGGATGGTATTTATTATATTACAGTTATCGAGAGTTATTATGGTTATTATTATTAACATTCTTTTTATTCTTTTTTTATTGATATTGTTTTTTATCTTCTTAAAGATTTACCTAAATCAGCATTTTTTGGAGTTGAAGATGCACTAAGTTAGGCTATATCTAAAATTTATTGGAATCTAGAACTAATCAAATTCTTTAATTTATAGGGATTACTTAGATTATTAAGTTTATCAATTTTTCCTTAAGATGATTAAGAATGAGTAATACTGTGATCTTTACCTTAAATCTTGTGATCTGATTCAGTGGCTGGTTTAACAGGAGAAGGTAATTCTAGTATTGAATCTTGATGATCTTATTCAAAATCTTAAAATGTAAGTAAAGGCAAATCTTCTTAAGCAGAAACCTAGGTTTTGAATCTTTCTATGATAATAAATAAAATATACAAGTGCATGTAGATAAAGTCACTGGTTTTTATAGTTTAAAACATCCTTTTCTAACAATCTTATTGATGTGATAATTTTCAACTTGTATTTAGAAGATTGGATCTTCTTCAATATGTTAATATTGTGAATTAAGAAGTTTAGAGGCAGAAGCCTTAATTATTCTTTTACTAGTTATTGATGTTTAAGTTTGTTCTGTTTTAACAATCTTACCTAAATCTAAATATCTATTAATAGTTTTAGAGGATTCTTTATGAAATTCTTCAGGCATCAAATTATTAATTTATAAGATTGGTTTTTTCACTTATTTTTTAGGTTTTGTATCTTCATTTAATTTGGAAATTGAATTAATGGATAGTTTTGATTTCTATAAGATTTGTAATGTTTTTATGATATCACTCTAGAAATTGTAATCATTAAAATAGAATTGAGATTATTATAACAATTAAACTAAAATGAGAGCATTAGTATCATTGTTACTAACTTTTATAATTTTATTCCAATAGGATGAGAACAATTAAACATCCATTTTGAATATCAAATGATGATAATTAGCTCCATTATTAAGTGATTTTTCAATTAATTTAGCTATTTATTCAAATACTCTTTCCACATTACCAATTTATTAGCTTATTTTCACATAGCTAATGTAACCGATAATAATTCGAATTAGAAAATGCAATTAATTGGTCTTCCAAATTAACATGTTAATTAATCTACGAAATTCCATTTTGAGATCCTAATTATCTTTAAGTAATTTCTATTTTAATAATAGATATTGATTTAACATGGAACAAGTTTGAAATTCAATTAATCCTTCATAGAAAATATGGTATTTAATTATAAAGTCTTCATATGCTTATTATATATATTTATGAATAGGTTAGCCATAAGTCATTTGAGATGCTACAAAATAGGCTAATAATTTTTGTTTTAATTTATCCCAATCTTTACAGCCATCTATTTTTTTTATTTTTTAAATCTCACTAGCACTATCACAATTCACCAACTACAAAAGTTATCATGTGGGCAATACTTAATCAATAAGTGTTTAATTTATCAACTTGATTCCTAAATACTCTTAAACAACGCTGTTATTAATTTGAAATAGAGATTATAGTTTTTAAATGTCTTTAATGGACATCGAATTAAGTTTCAATAAAATTTTATTTTGTTTTAAATGAGTTACCTCTATTCACCATATAGATCATATGCTAGACCATATTAGTATTCACCCACCCGTTCATACGTATCCTCCCCATATTATACATCTACTCCACCAAGAGGTAAACTTGTTGGTTAAACAAATAAGGAAATTCTTGGGTAGAAAGAATTCCTGTTGAATAGAGATATACAGAATATGTACCAGAGCAAAGAATTGAATATAAACCAGTAGAAAGAAGATATACAGACTATGTAGAAAGTAAGAAATCATTGAAATAATTAAGTCGAACATTACAGAGATTATGTACCAGTTCCAAGACTTGAAAGAAGAGTTGAATATGTGCCTATTGAAAGATATGATGAAGCAGTTGACTATGTTCCAGTTGAGAGATCCAGTGTTGTTCGCTAACCATTAGCAAATTCATTAGCCTACAGTAGATATTCCAGATATCCATCCAGATATTATTATTGATTATTATAATCATTATTAATTACACATTCATTGTGAAGAAGAGTAAAAGAAGACTTATATTGTTTCTGTTCAATTTTTTATTAGTTTTAATGGAAAATTAATTATACATTCAATAGAACTTATCTAAATTTTGCTAATCTTCTACTATATACAAAAGATTTATTGTATAGAAGAGAATTATAATGGTTCTTTTATTGTAATTAATAAATTTCTATGACTAAACATATTAAATAATATATATATATTGTAGTTATCTATTAATTATATATTTTTCTTATTCATTTTTCAATCTATATGAATTATGAGATTAAATATCATTAATATTTACATAAAAACTAAAAGATGACCTTTAATTTAATAATTAAATGAAAAAAAACAATTAATCTACAATTACAGATATTCATTTTGAGAAACTCTAACGACCAGATTTATTATATACAAGAAATCAACAAAATACTCAATAATGCATACAATTATTATTAAAAGATCCAACCATACGATTAGAATAAGAAAATGAGAAGCTAGGTTAATTGTTGAGAGGACATGAATTCTTTAAAACTTCTGATAATGAATTTTTAATAGAGTGTTGTTAAGTAAGTCTATTTAATCATATGATAGTTAATGAGATTTGAATAGTTCCAAAAAAATTAAGTGATATTCTCAAAAAATTAATTAGATTAAAATAAACTGATAATCATTTTATCAGGTGATGTAGTTTTGAATAAGGGAAATTAAGAAATGATACATCTTAAACATTGTGGATCTAATCTTCTTCTTTTTGGAAGTGAATGCTATTCTGATATGTATACATTCATGATTTTAGATCAGATTGGAATGTTACATCTAAAACTGCCTGTAAAGTAGCAGCAATTTCAAAACATGATTTCAGAGTGAATCTAATGACTTTTGAAGTTAGTCGTATTACTAAGGAAATCTCTTAATTGTATGCTTTTCCAATTTTCAAGAATGTTCCTTATGCTTAAGTACGTAAATTCTATGCTAATTCAATGTCATAAACATTTTAATGTTTAGATATAGTTTATTTATAAGAGTAAATGATCAAATAAATTTATTTGGTTATAAAAGGGATATTTGAATTAAGGGAATAAGAAAAAGGTATTGCAAAAGCTGTTCATATATTTACTTAAGGATAATTGATTGGAGAAAATGAATTAAATAATACAACATCACTTTGTAATGGTACAGCCTTTTGTATTAGTGAAGAAGGATAATTACTTATTTTTGATTATGATTATTTCAAAGATAAAGTATTACCTTAAATTGAAGACAATTTATCAATTAAATAAAAGACTTAAATTACAAAAAATGAGAAATTTTTCAATAATAAGGTATCTTTAACTGGAGAAATCATTTCTAAAAAACATCTTTCAAGACATTATAATTTTAAAAAAAGTAATGAAGATTATGATGAACAATAGAAATAAACAATTATATAAAAAAATAAAATAAGATCAACTCATTCAATTAATTCAATTCATTAATCAAATAATTCAGAAGAATTAAATGAATCATAAATTAATAATTTAAATAGTAATCTTAATACTTCTTAGGTTAAATAATCTATTAAATAAAATCGTCTAAGAATAAATCAAAGAAATACTCAAAAATCTATTCATTTTTCTAATGAATAAATTAGATCATAAATCATTAATAGTCCTATACGTTCTACTGTAAATAAAAAAAGTTCATTGTAATTAAGTCTATAAAAATTAAAAGAAGATATTACTATCTAAAAATCATAACAATAAATGAATTTGAGGATGCCATTAAAAAATGAATTACTTAATAAATTTTTAAATAGAAAAGAAGAATATGGAGACATAGTATCTAAAAATAGAATGAGAAGAACTCTCTCGTAAACTACGAATGTGAAAAAAACTGTATAAATAAACAAATGAGATATAAATTAATTTAAATTAAAAAAATGGTCTCGGAGGGGATCGAACCCTCGACCGTCAGCTTATTAGACTGACGCTCTAACCAACTGAGCTACGAGACCTGTGTTGAGATTGTTATATATATTTTTAATAAATATATGTAGGTAAAAATAAATTTCTTAAATTATAGATGGAATTAGAAGGCAACACAAAATTTAATGAGTATGAAGAGAAAATTAGAAATCATTAAGCTAATGGTCATAATTACTAATAAGATAAATTACATTAGAAAAAAGAATCAGACGCTTAATTTTTAATTGCTTAAAATCCTTTGTTAATGAGAAATCTATTAATCATAATAGATACAACAAAATCATCTAAAATAAGTGATTTTAAACCAAGTCGTTTAGCAGTGGCTTTATAATTTTTACCTGTAAAAAAACACAATAATTATGTAATTAGGCATTTATCGAATAATTTTTAGAGTGCAATCCTTTGTCTTAAATAGGCATAGCAGTTGCTGAAGAATATAAATGCAAAACAATTTTAGATTTTACTTCATCTTGTGTAAACATAAAATAATATTTGTCAACAATCCATTCAATAAATGAAGCTGGTTTTTCAATGGCAGCCTGTTTATAAGTATCAATGAATATCATAATAATTTAGACTGCTTTACATGTTTTTTCAACTACATAATTGCATGCCTAATCAAGTATTTTGTTTGTGACTACATCGACATATTCAGATGATAAACTTGATTTAAATGAATGGAGTGAGAAGTGTGAATCTGCAGCTATTCAAATAAATGTGATATCTTTTGCAGGAGCTATACATCAATTAATTAAAATAACATAAGCAACTGATGGATAATATTTGTGTCCCATTAATGAATATCAATTTAGCTAAGAAATTTAGGTATATAGATTGATTGATATATATAAGAAATTCATTTCACCATAAGAATCAAAAAATCATAAAATGATTACATAATTGGTAAAGATTGGATTCCCATAAAAATTAATAGTAAGTTAACCAACTTTATGTTAATGTCATTTAGAAATAGTGTAATTTTAATAATAATATATAATAGATACAATTTTTATAAATGTCCAGTTTGTTATAGTAAGGTTTGTTCTCCACCACTTTTATGTCCAATCTGTTCAACTTGGATAGTTCTACCTCATTAGATACTTAGAAGTGATGGTTTCAATACTTTAGCTGTGTTTGAAATTATAAATGATGGTTTAGATCATATATGTTATGGATGTTTAGAATCAACTACTGATATTCATTCTACATGTGAGAGATGTAAAAACTTTTTCTGTTTGTAATACTTTATTTTATATTTTAGAGATTGTGATATTTTAATCCATTCTAAATTTAAAGTATGTCCAGGCTGTGCTTGATTATGTTGATGCTAAATATAAATTTAAATAATAAAATTATTTTAAATATTCTGAGTATATTTTAATGGATAATTGATACATACATTTAAATTTTAATAAAATGTTAACCAACTATACCTATTTTAGAATGCCAACCTATGAAAATAGGTAACCTTACATTATTAACACAAAAAACAAAAAAAATAAGTCTGTACCATTGCCTAAAACTCCTAGGAGAGAATATTCCTAAATATCTAGCAGATTTCAAAAAATCAAATTTTTGGGAAAAGGCAAATATAGTGATGTTTATATGGCAGTGTAATAATTATTAAGGATTTTTATAGTGATAGAATAACCAATTGTATATTTGCAATCAAAATAATAAAGAAGTCAATCATTAATTAATTTAATCTCTAGAATTTGTTAACTTAAGAGATAAAAATATTATCATAAATGAGTCATCCAAATATTATGAAATTTTATGGAGTGATTAGTGATGATAAAGAATTAGCTATTATTTTAGAGTGTTGTGAATCTTCATTATACAAACTTTATGATAAATTAGATTAAATAAATGAAGAGTAGAAATTATAAATAATTTTTGAAATACTTTAAGCATTTTCGTATTTACATGATAAAAGTATTCTTCATAGAGATGTCAAACCTGAAAATATCATGATGATTTAAAATCATATAAAAGTGGGAGACTTTGGTTTAGCAATTAAATTGAAAATAAAAGAAAAAATGAAATCTATTTGTGGAACTCCATAATATATGGCACCAGAAGTATTTAAAGGATTAGAATATGATATTAAAGCTGATTGTTATAGTTTAGGTGTTATTATAGAGGAATTAAAATGTAAAAGTAATGAAATTAGAAATATGGTTCATATATTTAAATAAAATGATTGCAATCTAAGGGGAAATGTTAAGGATTTTTTGTAATTAAAAATATTTTCGAAAGTGAAATAAATTCTTTCATAAACTATATTTAAATGATTTTAATTAGTTAATTTAATTATTTATGTTTGCTACAATTGATCCATTAACAGGAGGTTTGATTTGGGAAGTAGAAGGATAAAAAGAGAAAGAATAAAAGGAGAAAAATAAGGTGAAATATGTTGAAATAAAGGATGTTAATATCTAATTCAATCCTAGACCTAGTAGGTATTAAATGAATATTAATTATTATAAGATTATCATTAGAAGAGAAGCTTAAATTATTAGAGCCAATAGGAGAAGAATTGATTAATAAAGATGAATTAATAAATCTATTAAAAACAAAAACTTTTCCTATTTGCTATGATGGATTTGAACCTAGTGGAAGAATGCATATTGCATAAGGATTACTTAGAGCATTAAATGTTAATAGATTAGTTGATGCAGGATGTATATTCATTTTTTGGGTTGCTGATTGGTTTGCTTTACTTAATAATAAAATGGGAGGAGATCTAAATAAAATAAAGAATGTTGGTAGATATTTTATTGAAGTTTGGAAAGCTGCAGGAATGAAAATGCATAACGTGTATAATTAAATAATAATATAAATATAGTAAATTCTTATGGGCTTCAGATGAAATTAATAAGAGACCTAATGATTATTGGTTAAGAGTATTAGATTTAGCTCGTAAATTTAATGTTTCAAGAATAAAAAGATGTGGATAAATTATGGGTAGAAATGATGATGAATAAGATGATAAGATGGCTGTTGCTTAATTATTTTATCCATGTATGCAATGTAATGACATCTTCTTTTTAGAGGCTGATATTTGTTAATTAGGTATGGATTAGAGGTAATAATTCTATTTATTTAATTTTAGAAAAGTTAATATGTTAGCAAGAGAATATGCTGATAAAGCATCAGATGCATATAAACCAATTATTATGTCTCATCATATGATGATGGGTTTACTTGAAGGTTAAGTTAAGATGTCTAAATCTGATTTAAACTCAGCTATTTTTATGGAAGACTCAGCAGAAGATGTTAAGAAAAAAATAAAGAATGCTTATTGTCCACCTTAAATTATTAAAGATAATCCTGTTTTAGATTATACAAAAGAAATAATTTTTGGATGGAGAAATAAACTCTTAATTTAAAGAAAACCTGAAAATGGTGGAGATAAGGAATATACATCTTATGCTGAATTAGAAGCAGACTTTATTTCAGGAGCTCTTCATCCAGGTGATTTGAAACCAGCAGTCACCTTAGTTCTCAATGAATTAATTTAGCCTGTTAGAGATCATTTTACCAAAGATCCTGAAGCAAGAGCTTTATTATAAGAGATTAGATCATATCAAGTCACAAAATGAATATTAAGTATTAAACATAAAGGGAAATGTACAATGATCATTTTTTAGCCATCATCATTACACTCTTGTATGTACTCTAACTACTACACCCTTTTGTTTTAAATTATCCATCAAATGCTAAAATATCCATTTGTTCTCTCTATTCTAAATCTTTTTTCATATTTTGATATTTTTATAACAATCTTTATAATAATAATTATATTAATTACCTCTCTAAATCAATACTTCTATTTTTTCTTAATTCATCTTATCCTGCTTTTATTCTTTATTGTAATGCATTTAATTCATTTAAATGTCTTTATTCCAATTATTATAATTGTGTTTTTATTTTCAAACTTCTCTATGTTGTATAAACCTTAAGCTCTTCTTCTTCCAACTAAACACGTTTATTCTGTATAGCATGTGCCTCTACATAACTATAAATTTAATGCAATATTTACTTTTTCTATTTTGCTAAATGCTCTTCAATTTTCTTTAGATTTAATACTTCAGAAGATTCTTTAGGTTTATAAGGAGTAGATCTTTCTAATTCCTCTTATAATTGCTTATATTCATTTTACTAACGATTTTGTAATTCAATTTCTACTTACTTTGCCTCTTCATTGAAATTTAACATCTTGTTATCCCAAAACTAATTGAATTAATTATATTCTTCCATATGAGCTCTTTCAGCTTAATCTTTTTGATTTTACCAATTTATTATTAATTCTTTCTTTTTTTTTGTTATAAGTTACTTCCTCAACTCAATAATTCTTTTCCTTGCATCTTCTGCCTCCATGTATTTCCCTTACTTTTCACAAGCATTTTAATGTTAAGTTAAAGTATTTATATAATCATCAACATCTTAAGCTGTTTGAAGATTTGGTTCATTCTTCATAGGATCCAAAAAAGCAACGTTAGCCATTTTTAATATAATTTTATTTATGTGTCAATATTATGTTTATATAATTTAAACATAATTCCTAATTTTATATAGTATTCTTAAACAATAATACTATGTATATCTATTCTATTTATTAAAATAATCAAATCTATGAGATAAATGATTAAGGTTGAAATTTATTATTACATAAATTAATCAAATATTTTTAATTGAGATTGTAACGATAATATTGTTATGAATTCTTTAATTTAATAACATCGATCATCATCAAGTAGAAATCGTAATTTTTTGAATATTACAACATCCCAACAACAACTGAGGATGCAATCTCCACTTACCTAAATTGAAAATAGTTAAATCAATTAAAAAGATCTCATTCATAAATTAGTTTAAACATTAAGATTATAACCAACTTAAAGAAATAAAGAAAATAAAAATAGACAATAAAAAGCAAGATCCTAATTAAATTCTGGTTAAAAATAAAGAGTCCTTGAAGATAGACTATATAAATTAGAAACTGCCAATTCTCCAACTTTAGGTTCTTAAAATAGAAGATTATTTAACTAAACATTACCACTTATAGCCTAACCGAGATATAAGAATTTTAAAATAATGCAATTTTTGGGTAAAGGGCGTTATAGCAATGTTCACTTAGCAATTGATGAAAATACTAATTATCATGTGGCTTTAAAAATAATGAAGAAGGCTTAAATTTAATCAATGTCCTAATCTATTGCCCAAGAAATTAAAATTTAATATTTACTAAATCATCCAAATATAGTTAAATTATATACATTTTTTCAAAATGGTATTAAATTTATATTAATATTTTAGCTGATGAAATAGTTCTTGTTTTGGAATATTGTCCAAATGGATAAATACATAAAATACTCAAGGGTTTGCCTGAATGCAGCTTTCCAGAAAAATTAGCCTCCTCCTACATTCGTTAAATTCTAAGTGCTTTGATTTATCTACACAGAAATGGCATCATTCATAGAGACTTAAAACCAGAGAATATATTCTTATGTTATGTATTTATCCTTTTTTTTAATATAGAATCAAATAAAAATTGCTGATTTCACATATTCTGTTTATTCACCTGAAGATTAAAGATAAACATAATGTGGATCTTTGGCTTATTTATCTCCTGAGATAATAAGAGGTGAGAATTATGATAAGAGTACTGATATGTGGTCTCTTGGAGTATTAGCTTATGAATTATGTTGTGGGGAAACACCCTGGGAAGATTTAAGATAGGATGAAATGTAATAAATGATATAAGATGGAATTATTAATATGCCTGATTCATTTTCTTGTGAACTTAAGGACTTTATTAGTAAATTAGTTACATCTGATTCGAAAAGTAGAATGACAGCAAAATAGGCAATGACTCATCCTTGGGTTTAACAATAGGAAGAATAGTTAACTTAATATGAATTTAAACTTTGAATTATTCAAAAATTGATAGAATTACATTCATGTTTCAATTTAATAAAATGAGTATCACTTTTTTATGACTTTTAAATTATTCATTTTGTTAATAAAAATTAATAAAATTATAAATAATAAAGATGGAAATTATAAATATTATAGAATTAATAGCTGAATCAGGAAACAGAGGCAAAGAATTATTGATAGACTCTTTTGTTCTTGGAATAGCATGGGGTAGAAAGTAAGAAAGAAACCCTATTTAGAATGATTAATACAATACAAGAGATTAAATAAGCTACATAATACTTATACGAATTAAATTAAGAAGTTGAACTCTCCTAAAAATCTCCATTCTAAAAATTAGATCTATTTCAATAGTTTCTTATAGATGAAGTAAATAGTTTATTTTTTAAATTAGAATTGTCAATTATTTCCTTATCTGGAAGCAAATAAAAAAAAATAATTTAAAGGAGAAATTAAGTAAAATCCTGAAATAATTTAAAAATAATAGGTAGTTGTTAATAAATTAGAATTAAATTAATCAATTTGTGGAATTTGTAAATTCTACATCAATGATTTAGAGGATGAAAAATGTAAAATTAATAAATGTGGACATGAATTTCATAATTTATGTCTTTACAAAAAAATTGATTAATAAGATTTACGAACATGTTACATTTGTTAAATTTAGTTAGAACCCAATATTAAGACATAAATATTAAAAAAAATTTCTACTTCATTTAAATCTTGTTGTCCTAATCCAGAGTGTGATGAAGAATTCATTTATTTTGGATAATTAAAATATATGTGTAAAAAATGTAATATAGTATGTTGTTTGAAATGTAAATAAGTTGAACACAATGATTAATGTAAAGTTGGGATTGACTATATTGATATGAAACAAGGATAGAAATTCAAGTTTTGTTTTCATTGTCTTTAACCAACAATATTAAATTTTTAAGAAAACAGTACTCATTAATGCTAATAACAAGATAAAAATCAACTTAAAAAATCACAAAAATTTCTTAATTTTGTTTAACATTTATTGTAAAAAATAAAAAAGTGATTATTTATATATATTCATGTTGCTTTAAAGAAATTCATACTATTATAATTCAATATAAATATAATTAATTTTTTCTTAATATGGATATCTTGTTTATTCATTTTATTCTTAATTAAATTATTAATTTAATTCTCTTTTAATTAACATAGATAATTATCAAATTAAATAATATTATAAATAAATTAATTTGATGAGAATTAGTATATTTAGAGATTGTCTCTTATAATAATATTTTTTAATTTGATAATAAGGGAATGATAAATGAGTTTAATAATTAAATAAAAAATTAAATTTATAATAAAGTATTTTAATGAATAATTTAAAGAATTACGATGATAATTCATTACTGTAAACAGTGAGTAATTTTGTTAAGAACTTTATATTTGGATTCTTGTACATTTTATAAAAGGAATCGAAAATCAATGCATTATTTTTAGCAATTTTAAATTTGATTCAATACATATAATTGCATAGTTATATGTTTAGAGAGGAAATAGGTTATGTTTGGTAAAATGATGGAATTTCAAATGCAATAAACATTTTTTTAGAGCATTTGCTTTTCAAAGTTTACTTTAGTAGCTTACAAAGTTATGTAATATTTTTATTCATTCAAACAGGATTGTTCATTTCATTAATATGTATAATAATATACTTTGGATATTAATATCACACAAGTTCATATATAAATAGAACAGCATCTTCAATTTTGAGGGTTGTCTTATTATTATTAATAACTGTGTTGTTTATGCCAATAATAAATTACAATACATCTGCATGGAAATGTGTAGATGATATAAATGGAGTAAGTAAATTTTATGATTTGTAATGCTTTACTGCAACACATATAGGATATTGTATAGCAGCATTTCTAAACTTGGTGTTGTATATCACATTGTGTATGACAATCATTTTTACTTATTTTGAATGTAGATTCAGAGCAAATGATTAAACAGCCAAAATAAATGGTAGAGCAGATGCTATAATGTAGAGTTATGTTATTGTATAAGAGATTGCTTTTTCAATAATGCATAACCGCAACTTTGCATATATTTTATTAGTAATAACATTAGGAGGTAGTTTAATTATATTTCTTGCATTTTCTCTTGGTACATAATATCATAGTTTTCTGTTTACAAGATATCACTCTACACTTTCTTCTTTGCTTATGTGGAGTGCATTTATGTTAGCAGTAGCAACAGCAATGGAAGGTAATTTGATAGGTGGTTCTATTGTGGCATGGTTAGTTGGAATACCATTTGTTATAAGTATAGTCTTAACTTAAAGAGACAGATAATTAGAGAGTTTAGTTGCAAATGTGAATAAATTAAATAGTCCTGAAGAAATAATTTCCTAGGTTAGATACTTATTGACTCTACTCAGATTACAAAATTAAACTAAATATGCAGTTATTTTAGATGGTTATATAGAAGTACATAGATAAACTTGTGAAAAATCAGATTGTCCTTTAAAGAAATATAAGCCTGGATGGAATAAAAGATTAATATAATAAATTAAATAAAATAATTCTGAAGTTAAAAATGATAAACAAGCATTATTAATATTAACTCTTTATAGAATTCTGGATTAAGGATTAGAGAAATTTGAGAAAAATGTTGATCTAAGAATTTAATATGCTTTCTTTTTATTGGAAGTAATGTCATATAAACATAAAGCATTATAAGAATTATAAAAGGCTGAGGAATGTGAACCAAGTTTAGATACTTAGTTTGTTTTATATAAATATAAAAGAATAGTTGAAAGTGAAATATAAGATGATTAAAATGAAAAAACTATTTCTAATCATGAAATTTTACCAATATCAGCTGCTCCACCTATTATTAGTGGATTAGCTATGTAAATTGAGAAATGTGCTTATTTACATATGGAATATTGGTCAGAATTAAATGAAGAAACTCCAGATGTTGCTAAATTAGAAGTAAGTGGCAAGAAAGTTACAGATAGTATTAGATTGGTTCAAGAATTATGGCAAAAATTAAAAAGAGTATGTCCAAATCATTAACCTAGCATCATGTTATATTCAGCATTTTTGATTGAAATACTTAATGATAAAGAATATGGAATTAGTTTGAATGATACTTTACGTAAAATGATATAAGGATATAATAATAGTAAAATAGATGATATAGATAATCATGATTTTAGTAATGATCCTACTCCAACTATTGTTTTATCAAGTGACAATGAAAAATTTGGATTAATTTAATAAATAAATTCTAGTGGAGCAGCATTGTTTCATTATACAAAAAGTGAATTAATGAATTAAAATATATAAATTCTGATGCCAGATATGATTGGTAAATCACATGATAGATTTGTTGAAGATTTCATTAATAATTCTGATTATAAATATGTTAGTAAAGATAGATAAGTTATATGTAAGAATAAATCTGGATATCTATTCTAAATGAATTTAAATATTAAACCAATTAATTCAGTTAAAAATGGAATCTCTTTTCTTGGAACTTTTACATAAGATAAATTCAATAGATAAAATGCCTTTATTTTAGTTAATCCAAAAAATTAAATTGAAGGTATTAGTACTGGATGTTTAAGTTTATTAAAACTGGATATAAGATACATAAAAACTAAGAGAAATTTCTTTGATCTTTTCCCATAAATTACTGATAAGGATCAATTTTTGAATAAGTTAGGTAGTGTAGTTTCATATACTATTCCTAAAGAAATATTAAAAACTATTGATGGTGTTAGAAAAAAAGAAGAAAAAGATTACATATATAAAGGAGTTGATGATAAACCAATATAATTATAATGCTTTTGTTAAGAAATCTAATTTACTTATGCCAATTTCCCAGCTGGATATTGTTTTAAATTTGAAAGAGTATCTGATTTAGCAGCTTCCTAACTTAATAGTTCAATTATTTCAAAAAAATCAGGGAATCAATTAATGGATAAGAAATTAAAAATGAATTAAAATAAATTTATTTTCTAATCTAAATTTGATGAAGATAACATCATGTATATTGATGGATATTATAAAGATTTACCTAGTTATTCTGATTTAGGATCTAGAATAGATTAATCAAAAGTAGATGATAGTTTCTTAACACCATAAAAATTGGACATAACAATATCCAATAAATAAGAAAAAACAGATTCTTAAGAAGGATCACCAAAATTTAAAGAAATATAGGTTACAAGCAATAAAATTAGATATGATGAAGGCATAAGGACAGTTCGTTTATTTTAAAATAAAGTTGGTGAAATTGTAAATGATGATGATTAAGTAATGGAAGAGGAAGAATAAGAATATGAAGGTAATTAATATTAAGGTGTAAATTAAAATTTATTGTATGATGATTCAGAAGAATAATAATCAGAACAGGATGCATTTTAAAGTAGAACTAAATTAGAATAAGCAATTAATTAAAATTAAATTCCATTTCCAATTAAGTTTATTCGAATAGCTGAAACCTTCTTAACTTTATCTATGTTAGTCTTGGCATTCGTTGATTACTTTTTAGATGTAATTATTTTATAATTATTATATAGATTAATCAATTATAAGATATCTAATTGACACTTGAAGTTTACAATACTCAAACAAATTTAGTTGCTGAATGGAATTATCTGCTTGAAAATATAAGAGATCTGTAATTGATTAATGAATAATTGTATGGTAATAGTACTGCATAAATAATCTAAAATGAAACTATTTTAAAAAGCGAAATGAAATCTAGCATAGATTATATCTAAGAAGGATTAAATTACATTATTTTAAGTGGATATCAATTCCCATCTGAACTAAAGACTTTATATAATGAACCAAATATAAATATGAAATTTAATTCAACAAATAGTCAACCATATGATTTTTAAGAAGCCTCAAATTAATTATTAAGTTATGCTTTAACTATCATGAATTATCCTTTAGAATCGATATCATTAAATTCTGATGATGTTGCCCTTTATTTTACAATATAAAACGGTTTTAATTCTTATTTGGATGCATAATTGAAGGTGTTATCATACACTATAGATGACTTCATTTCTAAAACAGCAGATAAATCTACCAATTTTGTAATAATTGTAGTTGTTGCTGGTGTTATTTTAGCTCTTTCCTTGGCTATTGTAGTTATAATACTTTTGTCTACTAGGTTGGCTAAGGAATAAGTCATCATTATGTTTTTAGAACTTCCCTCAAAAGTTGTTAAAGCTTTATTCAACAAGTGTGAAGCTTTTGTAAAATATGTAAACTCTATTGATGGAGAAGGTAGTGAAAAGGATGAAGATTTTGAACATTAGATTGAATAGGATGATATGGCAGCTATTGATTCTAAAAAAAAGAAAAAGAAGAAATTTAAAAATACAACTAAAGCTCCAATTAGATTTTATATATAGGTAATTCTTATAGCTGGATTTATGGAAGCATATTTTATAATGCAACTTGTGCTTTAGAAATAAAATTTAAGTGATGTTAGATAATTAATTTATGAGGCTAATTCTACTATAATGGCTGAAGGCTTTTATGCTTTCTGTAATAATGTCTAATAAGCTGTTTTAATTGATTCAACTTTAGAAGTATAAAGCTAACCTGCTGTATAAACATAATATGATAATTTGTATCGCTTATATTAATTAGATTCAACAATTCACAAAGAACATTCATCCAATATTGACAAACATGAATAAGTTTATATTGAAGCCTACAATACAATAATGTTTTCCAATCCTTGTCAAAGATTAAATGAAATAGCAAACATTAGTATTACTGATTGTGAATCATTTGCTGAAACAAGTGTTAAAAGTGGATTCACAGTAGCTTTAACTAGATTTTTTGAAAATTTAAGGTATTTATCAAGTATATATACTCTAACAATTTAAAATCCTACTCCTCCATTATCTGATTTTATTGATACTGAAGAAAAAATAATTTTTGCAAATGAAGCTGACAATTTAAGAATTAATTTAATGAAATTATCAAAAATGTAAGAAGTTAAATAAATGTAAAGAATCTATTTTAAGTATAATATATATTTATTATTAATAAGAACTGCTATTCGATATTTAGGTGACAGCTTTATTGAGGGTTCTTAAGTAAAACAAAATACTTATTTATCATAAAAGCTAGGCTTATTTATTACTTTTATGATAATCATAATCTTGATATATTTATTATATTGGATACCATTTCATCGTCATTTAAATAGAGATATTTGGAAGACTAGAATGACACTCTTGATGATACCTGTTGATAATATTAGAAGATTAAGAAATGCAAAAGCTTATTTAAAAGTATTGATAAATTAATAAAAATGATTCAATAAATTTAATTAATTTTTATATTTACCATATTCTAAAATTGTAATAAATAACAATTTATTGTTATTTAATCATTGTTAATTCATGATCTATAATTTATAGATTAAGTAATTTAATTAATATATTTTTTAGTAGATTATATATTATATTATTAATTCTATTAAAAAAATAATAATATCAATTCGATTAAATTTTTATATTATCATAATCATTTTCCCATATTTATTAAGTTAGGATTACTTTCTGTTATTTTTTTATATTAATTATCAAGAAATTAGTCTTTCTATTTAAGAGTTAATAATGTTAATAATTGCTTTTGAGGAATTTTTTGATTGCATAAGCAAATACATTTTCCTGTATTTATTTATTAATTAATTATATCTTAAAAGCATTCTTAATGGTAAAAATGTAAGCAATTAAGTCCTATCTATTACTTATGGATAGGCGTTCTACAATAAAAACAATTAATTATTTTTGTTTGATATAGTGTATTTGCCTGTAACTATTAAAATCCATCATTATTAACATCTTCTATAGGCTTTTCAATAGTTTTAATTTATTAAGTTTATTAAGGTTATTAACGTTAGAACAAAGAATTGTCTATTTAAGGAATTTCTATTTAAGGAATTTCTTCTTAAGGTTTTGGTTTTGGCTTTGGCATTGGAATTTATCTTATGAATAAATTCTAGTCTATAAAATTGGGAGGGTTAAATTAATTTGCCTGATAATTAAAATCTAATTTAAAAAATAATAATACTATTATCTTTTTCTATTAATGTAGGATTTTAATCAGGAACCTTTCCTAAAAATTTTATCTTAGAGGATAATTTTTATTATTATGGGAATGGAGAAATTTGTTATTAATTTAATAAAATTCCACTATCTTAATTATGATTTGGTTAATATAAATTAAGTTGACATGATTGTTGAATATTTATTAGTTGGCTATTTTGAGAAATTTAGTTGGGACTAGAATTTGGTACAACATTATTAGGTTGAGACTAATGAAAACTATTTCTATTTAAAGAATTAATTTAACCTAAAGTTTTTAATTGACTCATCTCATTTTTCTACTAAAATAGCTATATAAATTTTATTAATACAATAAAATTATCCTGAACTCTGTTATCAAAAGTGCCTGAATTTGAAATACTTGACTAATATTGGAAAGGTTTAGATTAGTTAAAAGATTATTATTAAGGAATTCCACCTTAAAAATTTTATTATTGTTATATATTAGGAAATGGCTCTATTTATGATTTCAATTTTTACAATTTTATTTATTTAAGTTATTTAATTAGTTTTTGTTTACATTTTCTAAAAATCTCAGTTTTTCATTCATTTTTTTTTTTTTATTGTATTATTATTATTATTATTATTATATTATAATATATATTCATTATATTATAATATATATTCATATAAATCAATTTTGTTTTTAATATTTGAAATCTCCTAATCTAAATACTTCATTCGGATGCATATAAACTCTCATTTTTAGAGTCTATGAATCATGTAATTATAAATTAATGACTTTTTTTGTATTTTCATTTGACTAAAATTCTATATTGAGCTAGTCCATATCTAAAGACTTCATTAACTTTTGAACTAAAATATTTTCAATTGTTGAATGGAATTTATACAAAAGCCAATCTATAATTTTTTTTGCTTTTTTATATTCTTGGATTTCTTCATCAACTACAATTTTAAATGATCCAAATTTAAATTTTGGAAACCAATCATCAACAAACTAAATTTTGACACCATTTATCTTAAATCTTATCTTCATATATGTATCCTAAACTCTAAATTGAAAAGATAGTTATCGCGTTGAATTTGAATAAATATTCCATAATTCAAAATGAGCCATTAAATCAAACTATTAGATAGGTAGCATCAAAAGTAAAGAATTGTTATTATATTCAAATTAAATGTCTATTTATTCCACATCATATTTAAAATTAATCAAATTTATATAAGTCAAATTGGCTTTTAAAAACCATTAGTCTATATATTACTAGATTTAATTAATATAATACATAATTAATTGTTATATCTTATTTCTCTAATGATCTTATTGAATCTGATAAATGAGTTTAAATTAGTTATAGGATTTCCTTTTTATTAATATATTGGTCCGTTTCAATTTATTATCTGCTATAGGAGTTTGAGTTGGATCTTGTATGATAGACAATAGTTCCAAAAAGTGCAAAACCAAATAACATTGCAAAAATCATTTTAATAAATAAAAAAAATTTTTATATAAAATTTAGTTATATTTTATTTTTAATAGCAATTCTAATATTTTATATATAATTAATTATATTTCTATAAGCTATTTCTATTACAATCATCAAATTATTAATCTATTTTTTTTTATTTTTATTAATATTTAAAAGAAATGGAAGTAAAAGTGAGTTACGGGGATTAAGAAATTTCTATTATGTGTCCACATGATTAATTAACTGGCCAATATATCTTCGAATAAATCTCAAATTAGTTTAATTTACATTAAGATTCTTTTGAGCTTCTCATATATACAGAATTAGGTTATAAAAATCTAGAGAAGAATTAAACACTCTCATAACAAAATATAACATAGTATAATCAAAATTATTTGATATTTAAAAAAAAGTAATTTAAAATTTTTACTTAGGTCTGGAATTTAATATATGTAGAATACAGCTAACTTTTAATAAGATAATAACTTTAAAATCTCTAATCAATTAGCAGGAGTTTAAGCGTCAAATTATGTTAATGGGTAATAATTACTTCAAATAAATAGACAATTTACAGCTAATTAATTTAATATGATTCCAAGCTAAATGCCAGCAAATCCTCAAAATTAACAATTAACTAATAACATTTAAGGGCAACCAGTCTAATTTTAACTTCCAAACTTGTAAAGTCCACCTTTTGTTTAAAATTAACAACATGGACAAACAAATACTACGAACATCCCTTTTTAATTATAAGGTCAAACAAATCCAATGAACAGTTCTTATTAATATTCAGGGCAGCCAAATCCAATAAATAACAATTAAATAACAGGGTAACCAAATCCAATAAACAATTATTAATATGCAGGACAAACAATTCCTATGAACAATTCTAATTAATTTGCAAATCCAATAAGCAACAATTAAATAACAGGGTAACAAAATCCATTAATAAACAATTAAATAACAGGGCAACCAAATCCAATGAACAATTTTAATTAATTTGCAAATCCAATAAATAACAATTAACCTCCTGGGCAACCAAATCTAATGAACAATACTTAATTTACAGTGTAACCAAATTCAATTAATAATCCTAATTAATAATTAGCCCCACCAAAAATAAATAACGCTGTTTTTTAATTTCCAGTATAGCAAAATTCTAATCCTTTCCAAGGATAACAAAATTAAATGGTGAATTAATTTTGTCCTCCTTAAATTCTTAATAGTATCTCATCCTAAAAGCAACAGGATAGATAAATAGAATAGTTATAAGATTAGTTAAAATAATAGGAAGAATAAATTGAAAAATTATAGGATGATAAGTTCAAGTTAGAAAATCAAATTAAAAGACTGAATAATGAAAAAAATTAATTGTAAACTGATTATGATGAAGATATATATAAAATAAATCTAGAGAATAAAGATAAAATAAATAAGATGTAAGATGCTTTCAATTCTACAAATTTTTAAAATTAATCAAAAATAAAATTACTATAATAAGAAATAGAAGATTTAAGGTATGACAATATTATAATTATATAGGGAATAAAACTAATAGCTTGAAAGTGATTTTAATAGATAAAGATACTAAATGAATAGATAATCTGGACCTATTAATGAAAGGATTTCAATTGTTTAAAATGATCAAACTATAATAGATGAATTAAGAGCAAAAAATTAATCATTAACAAAGTAATTGAGAGAACGGGATACAATTATTTAAAAAAAAGAATACGAGATTGAACAATTGTAAAAACAAATCACAGATAGAGATGATAAAGAAAAATTCTAATAATCAAATAAAAATGATGAACTTGATCGACGTTTTAAAGAATAATCATAAAAGTTTAATATACTTTAATCAAAAGTTGATGAATTAAGTCATTAGGCTTATGTTGAATAAAAGAAAAGAGAAGATAGAGAAAAAGAAATAACTAAACTAAAAGAAAAAGTTGTTAATCTTGAGACTGAAAAAGAATTATTAGCCATTGAAATAAATAATGATAAAAAAATTATATAATGCATAACAGAATATACAAATAAAAATTAAGAAGGACATAATAATTAATTAATGCCACAAATAAATTAAGAATTATAAAGGCTTTAAGAAAATATGTAGAAGGAATTAGCTCAGAAAAAGATGTAGGATTAATAGAAAAAAAAAGATGAATAATAGAAAATACTAGAAGATAATGCTTAAAGGAAGATCATCATGTAAGAGAGAGAACAAAAAATAAAGTATGAAAAATAACAAAAAGCTTGCAAATTAAGAGAAGCCATTATGAACACATAAGGAATACTTTAAGTTGGATTATTGGTTGATGTTACAGGATCTATGGACACATATAAAGATGCAACAATGAATATTATACAAAGAACTATGGGTTGTATTAAAAGTTAAACAAATAGAGATTGTGAATGGGGAGCTGTTTGTTATTAAGATTTTGCAGAATTAAAATAAAGAGGATAATATATGTAACATCAATTTACTAGAGATTCAAATTAGATGATAAATTTTTTAAAGAATATTACTTGTGATGGTGGAGATGATGGTGCTGAAGATTTAAGAAATGGAATTAAATAGATGATTAATAATTTAAAATGGGAGAAATATTTTAAAATTGCTTTATTAATATGTGATGCTCCATGTCATGGTAAAAAATGGACAGGAAATGTTTTAGATGATTATCCAGAAGAAGATTTAGAAGATGGATTATAATAATTAATTAATAAAAATATAGTTTTAATTGGAATTGAATTCTCATAAAATACAGATGTTATGTTTGCATAAATGAAAAACTTTTATGCAAAATAAAATAAATAATAGATGTTAATTGTTGTAGATTTAAAAAATAAAAAACCTGATTAAATTTAAGATTAATTAATAAACATTATTTCTGAAGCATCTATTTCAATTACTGAAGTAAGTTAATAAGGTACTAAAACAAAAAAAGAAAATGTTAAAAGAGATGGTGCATTAGAAGCCTTAGTAAAACTTTTACCAGATCCAACAAAATTCAATTAAGATCCTAAAATAACTACTATAGAAACTACTTTTAAGGTATTTAGAGTTGAAATTAACAATAATGCATTTGAAAAAAATATTACATCAATATATAAAATAACTGTACCTTAAGATTATAGTATTACACTTGAAAGTGAATGGAATTGTATTAGAACATTAAAACCATTTGCTTTTGGGTAACTTAAAGAAGTTTATTTGATGAAAAAATTAAATAATGCAGTATAAGATGAAGTTTATGTTATTAAAATGCCTATTGGGTATTTATTTTATTTATTTTTAGAGGTTAAACATATAAAACAATGAATGAAGCACTTTTGGAATGTAGATCCCATTTGATTTCAAAAAGATTAATGTAAAAATTTATGTAGGATTTAAATGATAAAAATTTTAATGCTCTTTAAATTAAATATTCAGATTTCTTAATCCTTTAAGAACATGACAGTAAATATTAATCTAATTTTTATAGGTAGCTTTTGGATTGCAGAAAGATTTTTTAAGGGAGATTTTGTAAAATTTAATAATAATTATGGATATATTAACCCAAAGGATGATCTATTAAACAATATAGCATAATTATTTTCCTATTACACATATCATATAAGTGATTTTTAGTATATGATTTGTGATGTGTAAGGAGTAGGTTACAATTTTACAGACCCAGCAATTAATACAAGTGAAGGAAATTTTGATGAAACCGATTTAGGTTAAGATGGAATTGGATAATATATTATTTCATTTGAAAAGGATAAAGCAGTACGTTATCAAAAATTCTTAGATATGCTAAATTTAAATGATTGAATCATGTTATATATATATATATATAATCAAATTAATATTAATTTTATTTTTATTATTATTCAATTAGCTTATAATTAAAAAAAATCAATTTGTTATGGATCTTTTTAAAGTGACTTAATAAATTCCTATCTATCGTCTTCACACTTATTATATAAGAAAATATTACTTTAGAATCTGATAAATGAAATTTTTTTCTGCATTTAGAACAAATGGCAGCAAGGCAATTCTAACAATTTATTTAACAACTTTGATTTTTTTATTCAGGTAATATAGTGATTTAAGTTTTACAATTAAAACATGTTTCATTAGATATTTACTTTTTAATTTTTTCTTCAAGTTTCTTCCCCAAAATTTCTTTCAAAAAATTGATTTTATAATTCTAATTACAAAAGGAGCATTTTAAATCCCATAAAAAATCATTGGAATTTTCTAATTCATTTTCAACACATTAACTATGAACAGTTTTAGTACAACATGGTAATTTTATCAAGTTTTCAGATTATTTTTCAGGACATAATTCACAAACTGTTACATTATTTTGGACATTGTTAGTGCTATTTGTAAATACTTTTAAATTTGGCTTTTTAATCTCCTCTTCCACTTGATCTGAAATGTAAATTGTTGACAAAACATAATTTAATTAATCATTCTATAAACAAATATTTGGAATATTAAACTAATTTAATTATTATGGTGCTTGAGATTTTTAAAATTATGGAAAGGGTTGCCCTTACTGTTAGAAGTTCATATTTGATGATGCTTGATAGCCAGTGCTGAATTGTTATTTATTCTCTGGTTATATTTAATTGCTAGTGCTTAATTTTAGTTATATTTAATTGCTATTGCTGAATTTTTTATTATTCTCTGGTTATATTTAGTTGCTAGTATTGAATTTTGGTTATATATAATTGTTTGTACTGAATTTTTAATTATTCTCTGGTTATATTTAATTGCTAGTGCTTAATTTTAGTTATATTTAATTGTTTGTACTGAATTTTTAATTATTCTCTGGTTATATTTAATTGCTAGTATTGAATTTTGGTTATATTTAATTGTTTGTACTGAATTTTTAATTATTCTCTGGTTATATTTAATTGTTAGTATTGAATTTTGGTTATATTTAATTGTTTGTACTGAATTTTTAATTATTCTCTGGTTATATTTAATTGTTAGTATTGAATTTTGGTTATATTTAATTGTTTGTACTGAATTTTTAATTATTCTCTGGTTATATTTAATTGTTAGTATTGAATTTTGGTTATATTTAATTGTTTGTACTGAATTTTTAATTATTCTCTGGTTATATTTAATTGTTAGTATTGAATTTTGGTTATATTTAATTGTTTGTACTGAATTTTTAATTATTCTCTGGTTATATTTAATTGTTAGTATTGAATTTTGGTTATATTTAATTGTTTGTACTGAATTTTTAATTATTCTCTGGTTATATTTAATTGTTAGTATTGAATTTTGGTTATATTTAATTGTTTGTACTGAATTTTTAATTATTCTCTGGTTATATTTAATTGTTAGTATTGAATTTTGGTTATATTTAATTGTTTGTACTGAATTTTTAATTATTCTCTGGTTATATTTAATTGTTAGTATTGAATTTTGGTTATATTTAATTGTTTGTACTGAATTTTTAATTATTCTCTGGTTATATTTAATTGTTAGTATTGAATTTTGGTTATATTTAATTGTTTGTACTGAATTTTTAATTATTCTCTGGTTATATTTAATTGTTAGTATTGAATTTTGGTTATATTTAATTGTTTGTACTGAATTTTTAATTATTCTCTGGTTATATTTAATTGTTAGTATTGAATTTTGGTTATATTTAATTGTTTGTACTGAATTTTTAATTATTCTCTGGTTATATTTAATTGTTAGTATTGAATTTTGGTTATATTTAATTGTTTGTACTGAATTTTTAATTATTCTATGGTTATATTTATTAACTAGTATTGGATTTAATATTCTAAGGAATTGTGAATTAATTGGGTGTACTAAATCCTTTATTAGTATCTTTTTAAATAGGCTAAGAAATGATCATATTTTATTTATACAAACTTTACAACCCAAATATATAAGAAAATTTTTAAGTTTATTCATTTTTTTCTATAATTATTTTAGCAATCTAGAAAATCTAAGAACCAAATTCTCTTTATAATTTTTATGGTTAGATAAATATTAATTTAATTTAAAGAATTTAAGCAAATTTGTTTAATTCTTTTTCCGATAAATCTAGGAATAAATTTAGTTAATTGGTTTAATTAGAAAAAATGTTTTTCAGAATATTTAATACTTCTAAAGGGTTTTATATTTGATTTTTTTTGATTTGATAAATTTCATTAAAGAAATCCTTAATCTATTTGAAAAGTTATTATTCTGTTTATTCTCTTATATATTGACTAGTCATCCATACAAATTATTTTTCAAAATACTATTTTATATTATCATCTAATAATCTATCTGCATTCAATAAAGGAGGTTGTATTAAAGGTATCTAATTCTATTAAAGCATCTCTAATTAATTTTTATATTTAATTAATTAATTTCATAGTGAAATAAAGGAAAATTAGAATTAAGATAATAAAAAGTTAAGGATTCAATTTAAGAAATGATATTTAAAAATAGAATTTGATATGACCTATGGATAAATTAAATTTTATTTAAATGATTTATATTCCTAAATAAGTTTTCATATCTCTATTAATAAAATTTATACATATTCTAAATTTTGTCTTAATTTAAAGAATGAATATTTATATTATAGATTTTATATTATTTTTTCTCAAAACAACTTGTTCTTGTTTTAAAAATAATAAAATCTTAAATCATTAACTGTTTTTGAATTATAACAACTTATCTAGTTTAATATATCCTAAACATTATTATAATAAATGTAATTTTAATAAATATCCAAGTCTTTCACTCCCAAGAATACTACACAAAAGAAAACTATATTTCATTAAGAAAAGCAAAAGCAGATTGAGCAAGAAAAAGAAGAATAGAAAGATAAAGCAGAAGCTGATACTTACACTATTAGATTTGCAAAGTAAATGAGATTAATGATTCATTAATAACAAAATGTGTAAGATTTTTGATAATCTAGAAATTTGAGAGAAAATATTGTTAATTTGAAAAAACGAAAGACTTTAGAAGGTTTTTCAGGAGAAACGCCAGTTTCAATTCAATAATGTTTCTCCTTTCTTAATTCTGCAATTTAGAATGCTAGAAGCTTAAGGTTAAATTTTTATCAATCTATAGATCCCTTGACTTATCAGGTATAGAAATTGATCCCCTCTTAGCCATAGAACTTGGATAAGGTCTCCAAAAAAATTCATCTTTAATTGAAATCAATCTTTCAGGATGTAAACTAAACAGTTTTAGTTTATAATATATATTTTCATCAATTGCAAACCACTAAACTTTGCAATCAATCAATTTATTTAATAATCAAGGCTTTAATATCGACCTTATGAATGATATAAACCAATTTGTTTTTAAAGGAAAGAATAATCTAAAGAAATTAAAATTAACACATTGTAATATATCTAGTACTGCAATGAGTTATTTATTGCGAAATCTAAAGTAAATAACAGTTTTATTTTAGATACTCTCAATCAATAAATGCAATAGATATATCAATGATGTAATTCACTACTGATGTATTAACAAGTTTAGGAATGGCTCTTTAGCATTATAAAGGTAAAAAGGTCTTGGAGTATTTAAATATTGGAGATACTAATATAAGAAATTAAGGAGTCAAAGTCTTGGCTCAAAGAGTTAGTTGGAATATTAGGAAAATAAACTTGAAGGAACTTAATATAAGAAGAAACTTTATCGATTAATAGGGGGTTCCACATCTCGAGGCGTTTCTAAGGAAAATAAATAACTTATAAAAGTTAGATTTATCATAAAATTAATTAGAGGAATTTAGTTGTTAAAATTTATTATCTAGAAAAATGTATGAAGTAAATTTAAGCTCTAATTTAATTTCTTGTTTTCCTTAATAATTCTTTTTTAACACTTTAATAATAAATTTATCAAATAATAATTTAAAAAATCAAGGTGCATTTTAATTATCAAGTATATTAAGGTAGAATCCTCTTTGGATAGAACTAAATCTTTCTAATAATCAAATAAAAAGTGAAGGATTTAACTCTCTTATATTTGGTCTTCGGGATAACAAAATGCTAAAGAAATTTATTGTTGCTAATAATCATTTAGATGGGGAATCAATAATCACTTATATGATAAATCATGAATAGGTATATTTTGAACATTTGGATGTATCTTATAATTTTATAAGATATGCTTTAATATTTTTTTTATTGAAATTCATAAAAAGTGGATGTCTAAGATGCTTTAGATGTTCATTTTAATAAAAATAATCAAATGAAACATGGGATATAAATATAAATCCGAATTTATTTCACGAAGAGGAGAAATTTATTAAATCCACTTAAAATTAATTTTAATTAATATCTTTTAATTTAAGGGAATTAGATTTTTCAAAAAATGAGAATATTTTTACTCCTGTAATTAGTTCTTTAGCAACATATTTTAATAAAATAGAAATTTTAGATTTATCTTCTTGTAAACCAATTACAGAATAAGATATAGATTTGCTTTGTACATTTTTAAAAAAATCTACTGTAGTTTATGATTTAAATTTAAGGGATTTGAATATTGGAAGTTTAGATGTAGAAAGTGTAAAGAAATTGAGAAACTCTATTCTTAATAGTAGTCTTAAGAAATTAAATATAAGCAAAAACCATTTATTTAAATTAGCAAAGGCATTTTAAATAGAAGAAATCCTTACAAACTACAAACTTGAAAGTTTAGATATGAGTTATAATGGATTAGAATCTAGACATACCAATTATATTGAAATAGTAATATCATCCTACAGAAATTTGCAGGCCCTAAACTTATCCCATAATAATATTGGTTTTACAGGTTTGATAGCAATCTCAAGAGTTATGTAAGAAAATAAGTGTTTAAAAAGTTTAAAGTATGAATTTATTTAATATATATTAAGTATTTCTCATTAAAAAATGAGTGCTGATGATTTGTTAATCTTGAGTTAAATAATTTAAAATGAAAATCTTTAATTTTTAAATATATCAGATAATTCAGAAATTAAAAGACTTAAAACATTTTTCAATTTATGTTAAACTGAAAAAATGGAACTTTTATCATTATCATAGATACATTTTGATAAATCAAACTTTAAGAATCTATTAAATATTATTAAAAAATAAACTAGGAATATTTTAGGGATCACACTTAATCGTTGCAGTTTCCGATTAAATGATTATGAAAAATTCGGATTGTAATTGATAAAATGTAAAAAATTATAAATGTTATGTATGACATACAATCCATTAGTTTATGTGGATCTTAATAAAACTGCAGCTATATTAAATGAATTGACAGATTTGAAAATATTAAAACTCAATTAAGTCTCATTTACAGGAGAGTCCTTCTTTAATGTCAAAGAATGGATTTTGAGCCCAATTAATTGTAGTGTAATCAATTTCAATATTCTAGTTGATTACGCTAGATCTAAGTGAAAATGTATTACGATAAGAATGGCTTGATGAATTATGTATTGGAATTTCAGGGAATAGAACTATATAACATTTATTTTTGAATAAATGCAATTTAGGTAGGCTTAATTTAGAACCTTTAGGATTAGCTATTTCTCAGAATCTCACAATAAGAATATTATCAATTGCTAATAATAATATTATCAATAATCTTTGTAACAGCAAATTTGCATCTGTTTCAAAGTATAAAACTGTACAATTTGAAGAACTCAATTTATCTGAGAATCCCTTAGATGAAAATGAATTAATTTAATTTTTTACTTCTCAAGAATAACAAAATAAATAGAAGTAAACTACTATTATAAAATAATTAAATTTATCAAATTGTAAATTAGAAATAAGTTTTTTCAAAACTCTAGTATAGGAACATCAAATTCATAAGGAATACTTTTTATTTTCTCATATAATAAGTTTATCCTTAAGTAATAATCATCTAGATGATTCCATAGGAGAATTACTAAAACAAACTATAATTTAATCAAATTAATTATAGGAGATATATCTTTAATAAAATTTATTTACAAGTAAAGGAATGATTTAAATCTTTGAGGGTATTTTTGCTACTTAAACAATTAAAACTATAAATATTTGCAGTAATAAAATAGGAGATCTTTTTGCTATGAAATTAGATTAATTAAAATTTCATAAATTTTCAGTAGAGTTCTTGTTGTTGAGAAATAATGAATTTTAGAAATAAGGTTAAAAAATATTAGCATAAATTCTATCAGTCTAAAAGAATTTATTTATTGATAATATATGGTCTAATTTAGATGATGATGATGCAGATAATATTTTGGAATAATATACTAGAATTTGCTAAAAATATCGTTTAGATTAAACATCATTGCCATCCTTTTTAAAAGAAATATAATTATCAAAATCAAATCTTACTGATAAATTTTGTGAATCTTTTGGTAAATATTATCCTCTTTTGGGATTCATAGAGTTTATAGATGTTTCAGATAATCCATATATAACAATGTATGGTAAAGTATATTTATTTTTTCATTTATTTGATTACAGTTATGAGAAACATTAATTAAGAGCATTGCATATAACTGATACTTAAGAAACTAGAAAATTATTTGATGATGGATTATTGCGTTATTTAACTTTAAGATTAAGAAATTATCTTTTACGTTAATCAAAATAAAATATGAAAAAATAACACCCTATACAACAATAAGAAAATACTCAAAAGGAAACAAAAAAAATATTTGGAGGTATGTTAGGATCATGGTTAATTCATAAGATAAATAAGTTGATGACTTATTTAGATTTAATTGAACCATAAATATTTATAGTAAGTACTCTTTTTATTGGTAAATTTAGAAGAAACAATATTAATATAAAGATAATAGTTATTTTATTTTGGATTGGATTTGTTGTTGTTAATATATCTTAGTTTTTTAAATTATTTATATAAGTAAAAAATAAAAATCAAAGTGAAATCTTTAATGCTGAGAAGAATAAAGAAATTAATAATGTTATTGTTACTGATTTAACTTATGCATTTATCATTGTAGGAGCAATATTAATTATTGAAATATTGTAATTAATCTTAACTGTGACTTTAAGAAGAAAAATCTAGCCTGCATTGCAAATTATACATCCAAAAATGTTAGAGCATTTACACGCTAAATTTCCACAGAAAAGGGAAATCTTTTTAATGATTTATTCAATTTTTAGTAAATCAAGTACTTTAGCTGAAAGAATGTTTTTGGCTTCTTTAATGAGTCTTAGTGATGATATTGTAGATGAAGATATAATTAAATTTTAGATTCTATTTAGTATTGTGATTATTGCAAAATTTGCTGACTCATTTATTATAACCTTAATAAATTTAATCAAATTTATGTTTGCTACACCAAATGATGATTAAGCTAAATATTTATCCTTATTGTAAAGAAATCTCTACTATTAAAATTATTTTGTTTCAAGTGATGTTTTAGTAACATTATGTCCAGTTTAAGGATATCAATTAACAAAAACAATTAAAGTTAATTATGAAATTATAATTGAAACATATAGGATGATTTTTATAGAATTAGTATTATTCATATTTATTTGGACATTCTCTAAAAATAATCATATAACTGGATTTTAAAATTTTATTGATCCAAAATGGCCAACATTGCGATTATGGATGACATTTCTCTTTTTAAAATGTATAATCTCTATAATCTTATCCCTTTTTAAAATTTTAACTGTTAGACCTGCAGTAATAAAGTAAAATGGATTTAATTAAGCATTAGCAATAAAAAGATTCTATTAAAATAAACATTAATTTGTTAAACCATAAAATATTTAAATTGAATAGAATTTATAAAAAATTGATTTCGAATTAAAAATAAAATAATAATAGTATACTTAGAATTCGAGAGAACTTGAATAAAGAAGAGAAATAAAAATCTTAAATAAAATTTAAGAAGAAATCGATTAGATTGATGAAGAACATGAAATTATATTTAGCAAATAAACATCACATTAAGAATATTTAAGTATAAAATTTATATTAATATAGATAATTCTTCATTGTCTGATTTACCATTATAGGACCTACCTCAGTCACCATTAAGTCATTATCTTCCTAAGTTTAAATTTAATATGTGATTAATAATAATAACTTAAGAGATTTAATTTTTATTTATTATATTTTAATCAAATTTTACTCAAACTATTATTTCTAACTTTAAATTAACTATTAAAATATAAAAAATCATATATTTTTTGATTAGTATCAATTAATTTCAATCATGTATACATTAAAAGTTCCAAATACAAATAAGATTATATATATTAATAAGGAAAAAATAAAATTTATTTTATGTTCTTCAAATAGATTAATTACAAAGCATTATCAAGAATTTATATAGTATATTTAAAAATCAATTTGTTTAAAATACATATATCTTAATATCATTTTAGTATTTCTTTATTAATTCTTTATACTTTATATCATCTATAATTAGGAGAAAAAATAAATAAAATTATTAAAGATTAAATTTTAAATAATGCCTAAAAATAAGGGAAGAGGTGGTAAGAATTATAGAAGAGGAAAAAATGAAAATTTAACAAAGAGATAGTTGGAAACAAAAGATGATGGATAAGATTATGCTTAAGTTATAAAATTGTTGGGTAGTGGAAGATTGATCTGTTTATGTTTGGGTGACAGTAAATAAAGACTTGGACACATTAGAGGTAAAATGAGACGTAAGGTTTGGATTTAAAATGGTGATATTGTGCTTGTTGCATTAAGAGAATTTTAAGATGAAAAGTGCGATGTTGTTTATAAATATTTTCCTGAAGAAATCAAATAACTAAAAAATCTAAAAGAAATTCCAGAGGTAATATATTTAATTATATAATTAAGAACTTAGAAGAAGGAGGAGGTGATAATATTGGAGATAATGTTGTATTTGTTAATAAAGAAGAATCATCGAGTTCTGATTCAGATTTAAGTGATAGTGATTCTGATGATGACTCTGACTCAGAACCAAAATAACCATAAAAATAATAGCCATAAAAACCATAACCATAAAAAGCATAAGCACCTGCCAAAGACAATAAAGAAAAGATTACCAAGAAAGATATTGATGATATTTGAACAATTTAAAATGTATTTTGGTTAATAAAATAAATTTAAATATATCTATAACTAGATTATTATGTTAAAAATATCAAAAAATTTAGAAAAAATCTTAATACTTCTAAGAAATTTAAATTAATTATGAGTTGTTTTATTTAAAACTTTTGGATAAATAATGTCTTCTTTTTCATTGTTTAATTAACTAAGAAAATTGGAATTTATTATTGATTCTTTTTTTTTTTATATCAAACACTTTTAAAAAGAACCCTATAATATATAAAAATAGATTTTAGGTTAATTAATTTACAATAATTTTTGAATAGACATTCTTGTTTTTTCTTAAATTGTAAAATATATTAATTATATTGATCAATCATTTTTTATTTGTTAGAGTTTTGAAGATTTATTAATCTATACTTAATCAAACTATAAGGATTCTTAATTATTGGAATTTATGAGAAATATTTGATGATAAAGATAGGTCTGAATTATTTTAACTTGTTAATATAACTGAATTTTAAGTACTTTTGATTTTAATAATTAGAATGAAGGTATGATGTAGAAAAGTAATTAAGAGGAGAAATAATTATTTAATATAATATAGAAAAAATTTAAATAAAATTGGCAAACATATTTAGAAGATAATTAAAGAAGGAAAAAAGATAATTTTTTAAGTTAATATCAGTATATAGTTAGAAATGTTATTGAAACTATGGAAAATTTTGAATTGGCTTTTGATATGATAAAGTTAATTCAAAGAATAAGTAAAATATTAATTGAATTTTTAAGCTTTAAGATATCGTTTAAGATCAAATAAAGATGATTCAAATGAAATTGTTAAAAGAAAAAGAACACTATAATGATATTAAATTGAAATTTATAACAAAAAAGAAGATTGTTGGATTGTTATTTTAATTTAATAACCTCTTTATACATTATAAAATCAAGAGAGGATAGAGGTTAAGATAATATTTATTATATAAAAATAAGATAATCATTTATATATAAAGTATCTGAATTATGATAACTAAATAAATTACTTCATTTCAATTAATGGCAAGATTGTCTATCTTAACATCTATAGGATAGAAGGTGAAGAAAAGGCCTTGGTAGCATGGATTGATTAGAAATTTGATATTAATGATAATTTTTATTTGTTAATATGATAATTAATTATAAACCCCGTTTGTATGATTAAAAGCATAACTTCCTAATGAATTAAGGATATTATTTATTTTTCAAATAATTTTACTATTTTTGAATGGGTGACTAAGAGCCTTTAAAAAGCAAGGAAGATTATTTTATAAATCGTCTTGCTTGCTCATTCAACATAAGAAATTCAATTTAATAAGACAAATTCAAGAAATCTTTTGAAGCTGAAGATAATAAGTAATATATGTGTTTTAATTTATTAGATTGGTGTTTGATAGACTAATGAAGGATGAAAGCAATATGATGGCTGTATTTGCCATTCAATCTGGAGCAGAGTCTGTTACATTATTTTCAGATGTTCCTCATCCAGATAAGTTCAGAAAGAAAGGACTTATTGCACTCAAAATATCAGAGAGCCCATTGTCAGTATAGAATATCACTCATAATATTGTGTTTTTGGAATTAACAAGAAATGTAACAATCTTAAATTATTTTAGATTTTGGAGCATTTATACTCAACTTTTTATGAAATAATGAGTCCTATTCTCTAGAATCCAAGTAATTAATAAGGATGGACAGACTTGGTAGCAAAAGACTTAATGGAAAAGTTCAATGCATATGTTGCCCAAGTTTATGTAATGATAGGTTAGATCGAAGGAAGAACTAAATTGGTATTATTATATTGTTAATTTTAAAGCCTATTCCTTCACACAAGTTAACTTAATCAGATACAACTCCAGCTAAAGACAAAGCACATGTATATGAAAGTTCAATTATAACATGGACAAAATAAATAAAGAATGTATTGAAATTGGAACCTGAATAAGCCTTAAAAAACGGACACAATCCAGGACCTTTAGTGGAATTGAAGTTTTGGGAGAACAAAGCTGCCAATCTTAATAGTATAAAGGAATAATTGGAAGGAACAGAAGTCATTAAGATTTTAAGATTTTTGGAAGTGAACAAATCAACATACACAAATCCATTTTCAAAATTATAAAGGGAAGTAACAAAGGCAAGAGAAGAAGCCAATGATAATAATAAATTTTTAGATTTATTAAAAGATCCCTTTTAAAGACTATAAGATACTGGTGGAGACTTTTAGGCTTTACATGAATTATTCATTCCAATAATGCATAGAATTCTTTTGATTTGGAAAAATTCTAAATTTTATAATACTCCTCCAAGATTAGTAGTTTTGATCAGAGAGATATGCAATGCAATAATTACAAAAGCATAAGACTTTGTAAATGGACCAATGATATTCTAAATGATAAGTTCAGAAGAAACATTTGAGGCATGTGAAAAATTGTAGATTACTATTGATGTTTGTACAAAGTTTAAGGATGCTTACTTTGAATATAAAGCCAAAGCTGAAGGTCATTGGAAATTGACTACAAATGCATTATTTGTTAGATTGGATTCATTTTTAGAAAGATGTCATGATATTTTACATTTAACAAATACTATAGTTTAATTTAATAAATTAGCCAAGATTGATCTTGGTGGTACAAAAGGAAAAACATTAACTGAATCAGTTTAATAAATATTTGTTGAATTTTAGAAAGCTGTTGAACAATTTTAATAAGTAAAATATGATATTATGGATATAACATAAAAAGAATTTGATGATAGTTTTTATGAATTTAGATCTAAGATTAAAGAATTAGAAAGAAGATTAGCTTCAGTAATTACATAAGGATTTGATGATTATGATACATTACATGGAAGATTCAAATTATTAGATAGTTTTGAAGGTTTGTTATCCAGACCAATTATCTAAGATGAATTGGAGAAAAAACATATTGTATTATTAGATATGTACAAATAAGACTTGAAATAAGTCTAATAAATCTTTTTGGAAGGTTATGAATTAGTTGATAAATTACATGAAAGAGCACCAATCTATAATAATATGCCTCCTATTGCAGGAGCATTGATGTGGTGCAAAGGATTAAGAGATAGAATTACAGAACCTTTAGATAAATTGGCATAATTGGGATAAGGTATAACAGAAAGAGAAGAATATAAGGATGTATTGAAATTATATTAATCAATAACAAAATAAATAAAGGATTATGAATAAACAAAGATTTTGAGTTGGGAATAAGAAGTAGGTAAAGTATCAGAAGAAAAATAAAAGTAACCTTTATTATCAAAAGATGAGAATGGATTGTTAAGAGTTAATTTTGATCCTGCTTTAGTTAGATTATTAAGAGAAGTGAAATATTTCACATTGCTTGAATAACCAGTTCCTGAATCTGCCTCAGAATTATATTCTAAAAATGATACTTTTAGAGAATATATTGTTTAATTGGAAATGATTGTTGAGAATCATAATTTTATTGTAACTTAATTACATCCAATGGAAGAACCTTTGATAAAGAATAGAATTGAAAAGATGGATGAAGTTTTGAAACCAGGTATTGAACATTACAAATGGAAGAGTAATGACATTAATAAATTCATTGAAACAGCTAAGGCTACTGTAGATGAATTACATTAAATAGTTTAAAAGATGAAGGAAACTTTAAAAAAGATAGAGTAAGCATTAGAGAAATTCAATACTAAGATAATTGAGAGAAAGAATAAACCTATGTCTCCAGATGATTATGATCAATTCTTAAAGGCAGTTGTTTAAAATAAATTATCTATTGTTAAAGATAATGGTACTTCAATTAACAAACTTGTTAAAGAAGTTCTTGATTAAGTTAAAGTTGATAAAAAACAATAGGCTTGGATAAATTATCAATATTATTTAAATTCAATTGTTATTAATGGTTTAGCAAGAGCCATTATAACTGCTTTAACACATATGAATGAATAAATTAATCCATAATATATTAAGAAACATGAAATTGCACCTTTGTTTGATATCAAATTAGAATTATTTAGAAATGTAGGAATTCAATATGAACCTGAAATAGAAGAAACTACATAAGGATAAAGTGTACGTAATACAATTAGAGGATGGGCTAATGATATGTTTTATATTGCAGGTCAATTTTAAAGATTAGATTCAGCTAATCCTTTTGGTGATTATTTACCAGAAATTAGAGAATATTTTGAAATTAAAGAAGTAGTACAAGCAATCAATCTTAATTTAGATTAAATTGAAGAAGAAACTAAATCATTTAAATAATCTTATATGACTTATAGTTATTTATGGTTAGAAGATCCTAAGTAGGCTTTCGAAGATTTCATGTTAAAGAATGAACCAAAAGATGCACCTGAAGATGAGGATTAATCTTAAAATCCTTTATTATAAGGTTGTAGAATAAAGATTCCAAAATTAGATTTATTTGATGATAAAATTACAACATTGAAAAATATTCAATAAGAAATCAATAGAATAATGACACCTTATGAAATATCATGGTTGAGAATTAATTTATAACCATTGAAAAGTGCCCTTGAAAATAAGGTTAGTCAATAAATAAAGGTTTACACTGAATTTTTAGTTGTATAATTCAAAACTACATTGAAAAACCTTAAAGGATTTATTCAAAGAACAAATGAAGGAATCAAAGAGAATCCAGCAAGTGAAGAGAATACTGGAAATAGAGATTTATTAATGAAAGTTATGAGAGTTATATCAGATGTTAAGGATGTGGAACATAAATGTGAAGGAATTGTTGTAAGAATGAAAGAAATGGTTAATAAATTAAAGAAACATGGAGTTTAAATAATGGAGAAAGGAGAAGAAGATCCAGTTTAAAGTATTGATAATGCATTTACTTAATTTAATGAAACAACTTAGAAAGTATTTAAGATTAAAGCTGAAATTTTACCATTATAAACTTAAGAAACTATTAATATTAAGAAGAAATTAGATGAATTCTAAAAGAAGGTATCAGACTTTAGAAATGATACTTTAAATAATTTACCTTATGGTTATCATGATGATATGAAGATGGATTAAATATTATATTCATATGTCACAATTGATGATTACTATAAAAAGTTATTGTAGATGGAGAAGGAGGCTGCAGATTATAATTAATTAGAGAAATTATTTGAATTGGAAAAGAGTGGTTATAAATAATTAAGAGAAACTAATGTTGATTTGAAATCATTAAAAATAATGTGGGATGCTATTTCAATGGTCAATTACTAATATAATGATTGGAAATCTAAACCATTCAGATAAATTAAGGCTGATGTCTTATTAGAATCTAATAAAGTATTGGGAAATTAATTGAAAAATTTACCAAAAGAAGTTAAGAATTTCAAAGGATATAATGCAATTGTTGATAAAGTTAAAAATATGTCTGTTGTTTTACCATTAGTCTCTGCTTTACATAGTGAATTTATGGAAGATAGACATTGGAGTTAAGTTAAAGATATGACTAAGAGTAAATTTGAACATAAAGCTATGACATTTTTGTTTGATGATATTCTTGCTTTATAATTGTATAAATTTGATGCATAAATAAATGAAGTAGTGGAAGTAGCATCAAAAGAAGCAAAAATTGAAAAGAAATTGAAGATGATTGAAACAGCTTGGTTGAAATAAATCTTTGAATTTGAAGATTATAAAGAAACTAAAATCTTTTTACCATTAGATAATATGATGGAAATGTTAGATTAACATTCTCTTGATTTGATGGGTATGAAAGGATAAGGTAAATATGTTGAATTCTTTTACAATACAGTAGAAGATTGGAGAGAAAAATTAGGTAGAGTTGATTCTGTTGTTGGTGAATGGTTGAAAGTTTAAAAGAATTGGAAAACTTTAGTTAATATCTTTATTGGATCTGAAGATATTAGAATGTAATTACCAGAAGATACTAAAGTATTTGAAGCTGTTGATAAAGAATTTAGAGAACTTATGACTGAAGTTGCAGCTAATCCATTGGTTATTGAAGCATGTATTAATGAAAGAAAGGATTAATTAGTTGCTATGAGTTTAAATATTAAGAAATGTGAAAAAGCTTTGAATGATTATTTAGAATAAAAAAAGAAAGCATTCCCTAGATTCTATTTCTTGTCAAATCAATCTCTATTAACTATTTTATCAAATGGTTAAAATCCACCTAAAGTTTGTGAATTTTTAGGTGATTGTTTCGATGGAATGAAAACACTTAGTTTTGAACCTTCTAAAAATCCAAATGATGTTCCAAGAAGCACACATAGTATGATTTCTAAAGATGATGAGAAAGTTCCATTTTCATCAAATTTTGAATGTGTAGGAGCAGTTGAACATTGGTTATCAGCATTAGAATATAAAATGAGAGAGACATTAGAAGAAATATTAGAAAAGGCTAAAGAAACATCAGAAAATTGGGAAAGTGGTGACAATCCTAGAGAAGATTGGGTTAAAAATTATTGTGCTTAAATTGCATTGTTAACAACATAAATTGTATGGACTGAAGATGTTACTAGAGCATTTGAAGATTTGGCTGGTGGTGCTGAAACAGCCATGAAAGAATGTTTGAAATTAATTGAAGTTCGTATTGATAATTTGATTAAGAAGGTCAGAGGAAATTTAGAAATATTAGAGCGTATGAAAATTATTAATATTATTACAATCGATGTACATTCAAGAGATGTTGTTGAAAAATTCTGTCTTTAAAAAACCTAAGAATTAGAATCTTTTGCTTGGTTATCATAATTAAAATTCTATTGGGATAATAAAGATAATGATATGCATTTAAGATAAGCACTTAGATTTAAGTGGGAGAAAGAAAGAGATAAATCAAAATGCATTATTAGAATTGTAGATTGGTTCAGATTTTATTCATATGAATATGTTGGTAATGCATTAAGATTGGTCATTACTCCATTAACAGATAGATGTTATATTACATTAACATAAGCATTGAATCTTACAATGGGTGGTGCACCTGCAGGACCAGCTGGTACTGGAAAGACTGAAACAACAAAAGATTTGGGTAGAGCAGTAGGATTACCAGTCATGGTGTTTAATTGTTCAGATCAGATGGGTAAAGATTCTATGGCTTAAATCTTTATGGGTTTGTCATAATCAGGAGCTTGGGGATGTTTCGATGAATTTAATAGAATAGCAATAGAAGTGTTATCAGTCATTAGTACACAAGTTAAAACTATTTTGGATGCATTAAAGGAAAAGAAACCTAAATTAATATTTATGGAAGAAGGAGAAATATCAATATAAGACACAGTAGGATTTTTCATTACTATGAATCCAGGATATGCAGGTAGAACTGAATTACCTGAAAATTTGAAAGCATTATTTAGATCATGTGCTATGGTTGTACCAGATTTAGTATTGATTTGTGAAAATATGCTTATGTCTGAAGGTTTCTAATAAGCAAGAGCTTTAAGTAGAAAATTCGTATCTTTGTATATGTTATCAAGAGAATTATTATCAAAAGCTAGACATTATGATTGGGGTTTGAGAGCAGTAAAATCAGTGTTAAGATAAGCTGGTAAATTGAAGAGAGCAGATCCATAAATAGCAGAGGATCCATTATTGATGAGAGCTCTAAGAGATTTCAATATGCCAAAGATTGTTACAGATGATAAACCAATCTTTTTAGGTTTGATAGGAGATTTATTCCCAAGAATTGAATGTGAAAGTAAAACAAATCCTGATTTAAAGAAAATTGTAGTTGATACAACTAAATAAGATATGGGATTAGTAGCTGAAGAAATGTTTGTATTAAAAGTAGTATAATTGGCTGAAATATTAGAAGTGAGACATTGTGTATTTGTGATAGGTCCACCAGGTTGTGGTAAAACAAGTGTATGGAAAACTTTGGCAAAGACTCATTAAAATAGAGGAGAAGATTATGAATTAGATACTCTAAATCCTAAGGCAGTTACATCAGATGAATTATTTGGATGTTATACTAAAACAAAGGAATGGAAGAATGGTGTTTTAAGTATGATTATGAAGAATTAAAATAAATGTGAAGAAAAATATAAACCTAGTCATTTACATAAATGGTCAATTTTAGATGGTGATATTGATCCTGAATGGATTGAATCTTTAAATACAGTTATGGATGATAATAAAGTACTTACACTTGTGTCAAATGATCGTATTCCTTTAACTCCATCAATGAGATTGTTATTTGAAATTTCAAATCTTAAGAATGCTACTCCTGCTACAGTATCTAGAGGTGGTGTCTTATTTATTAATGAAACAGATATTGGTTGGATGCCATATATGAATAGTTGGTTAGAAAGATCATTTGAAAAATGTGTAGTGAAAAGAGAAGGATTGATGGGATAAGTACCATAATCACCTCCTATTGATGATATTGCTAAATCTGTATTCTATAGATGTTTCTAATAATATTTTGAAACTAATCCAGATATTAGAGATAAGAGTAAAGTCAGATTAATAGTTCCATAAGTTGATATTGCTTAAGTAATGACTATCTGTATGATTTTGGATGCATTACTTTTAGAAACAGAGTACTCAAAGCTTTCTCAAATGAAAGAAGATGATCAAAAAATGATATATGAAGCTTATTTCATATATGCAGGAATGTGGGCTATTGGTGGTTGTTTTGGAGGAGGATAAGATGATGAAAAAGATATGAAAGATTTTAATTCTGTATGGAAAGCAGCTGCTAAAGTAAGAATGCCAGAATAAGGTATGTGTTTCGATTATTACTTTGATTTTGCTGAATAAAAATGGACTCATTGGTAAGGTAAAGTAGTACCTTATATTGCTACTGATGAAGCTATCTTTTCTAAAATTTATGTTGCTACTTTACATACAACTAGATTAAGAACTTTATTAGATTACCATCTCAGAAGAAAGAAATGTGTCTTATTTGTAGGATCTGCAGGTACTGGTAAATCTGCTGTTATTAAAGATTATTTGAGTTAAACTAAAACAGATTAAGTATCATATAAAACTATCAACTTTTCATCATTTACTGATTCATTAGCATTATAAAAGAATATAGAATCTATGGTTGAAAAGAAATCTGGTAGAACTTTTGGTAGTGCTACAGGAAAAGCATTAATTTGTTTTATTGATGATATGAATATGCCATATGTAGATAAATATGGTACATAATAACCTATTTAATTATTAAGATAAGTAGTAGATTATGGAAGTGTTTTCAATAGAGAATAATTAGAAGAAAGAAAATTCCTTTAAGATTTACTCTTCTTTAGTGCTTTAAATCAAAAATCAGGATCTTTCATTATAGATTTAAGATTATAAAGAAACTTTTCTGTATTCACTATGTATACACCTAATGCTGAAATCATTAAAACTATTTTTGGTGCTATTTTAAATAGTCATTTAGCTACATTTGATGATAAAATACATAAGTTATCTGATAAATTAATTGAAGCTACAATTCATTTATTTAATAAAGTTCTCAAAGATACAAGATATTCACCTTCAGCTAGAAAATTCCATTATTAATTTAATTTTAGAGAACTTGCTAAAGTTGTAGAAGGTATAATGAGATCAACTCCTAATTAATATAGAGGATAACCAAATAGAATGTTAAGATTATGGGCACATGAATCTAAAAGAGTATTTGAAGATAGATTTATTAATGAAGAAGACATAAAAGTATTTAGAGATTATGTTAAAGATGCAATGGTAAAAAATATTGGAGAACCAGATGATAAAGATAATCCTTTAGAAGAACCAAATGTATTTACAAGTTTTGTTGCAGCTCATCATGGTCATGAATCATAATATACAAATTGTGATTCTGCAACTTTAAAGAAAGTATTAGAAGATAAATTAAGAGAATATAATGAAGTGAAAGCTATGATGAATTTAGTGTTATTCTAGTAGGCTATGGAACATGTTTGTAGAATAGCACGTATATTAGAATTACCAGGAGGTAATGCATTATTAGTTGGTGTTGGTGGTTCAGGTAAATAATCACTTACAAGATTGGCAACATTTATTTTAGGATATGAAGCTGATCAAATGGTAGTTACATCAAATTTCACTATAAATGATTTAAGAAATTACTTATAAGAAATCTATAAGAAAGTAGCTAAACCAAGTGCAGGAAGTAGATGTTATATTTTGACAGATTCTCAAATCAAAGAGGAAATCTTTTTGATTCCCATAAATGATATGTTAAATTCTGGTTGGATATTTGATCTTTTCCCTAAAGAAGATTATGATAATATGATTTAAGGATTAAGAAATGAAGCTAAAGGAGCAGGTATATTAGATAATTTAGAATCAATTACTTAATACTTTTTAGATAAAATGAGAAAGAATCTTCATGTTGTATTGTGTTTCTCTCCAGTTGGTGATACTATGCGTATTAGATCTCGTAAATTCCCAGGTATTATCAATTCAACAAGTGTTGATTGGTTCCATCCATGGCCAAAAGATGCACTTATAGATGTGTCATATAGATTTATTAGTGAAGTTGAATTGGATACTGATGATCTTAGAAAAATCATTTCACTTCATATGGCTGAAGTCCATCTTTCAATTGATTATGCTAATTAGAAATATTTGTAATTAGAAAGAAGATATAATTATACTACACCAAAATCATTTTTAGAATTGATTGAATATTATAAGAAATTATTGGGTGAAAAGAGAGAATAAATTCTCAAATAAATTAAGAGATATGAATAAGGTTTATAGATTTTAGCTGATACATAAAGCAAAGTATAATTATTATAAGGTGAATTGAAAATCAAAATGGTTGAAGTTGATAAAAAGAAGAGTGAAACAGATATTTTAATTGAAAAAGTAGGTAAAGAATCTGCTGTTGCTGAAGTTGAATAAAAGATTGCTAATGAAGAAGAAGAAAAAACTAATACTGCATCAAAAGCAGCAGAAGAATTAGCAGAAACTGCAAGAATTGAATTAGAAAAAGCAATACCTGCTTTAGAGAAAGCCAAAGCTGCTGTTGATTGTATTAAGAAACCATAAATTACAGAAATGAAATCTTTAGGTTCGCCTCCTACTGGTGTGTTAACAACTGCAAGAGCTGTCTTAATATTATTAGGAGAAAAGATTACATTATAAGATCCAGAAGATAAATTATGGAAAAAATCATAATAAGTCATGAATAATCCATAATAATTTTTAGATAGAATTATTGGTTTTAATGGTAAATAAATTGATCCATAAATTTTGGCATCTGTTAATAAAATAATAGAAGATCCAGCTATGAAATTTAATGAAGAATCTATGAAAGGATAAAACTTTGCTGCTTCAAAATTATGTGCTTGGGCTGTTAATATTGTTACTTTCAATACAATTTTCAAGTTGGTTGATCCACTTGAAAAATCAAGAGATGCTGCTATGGCTGATTTAGAATAAAAAAAGAAAGAATTAGCTGTTGTTAAAGAAAAGGTTAGAGCATTGAATGAAAAAGTTAATAAATTAAAACGTGATTTAGAAGAAGCTGAAAGAGTTAAATAATTAGTAGAAGCTGATGCTAATGCTTGTTAAGAGAAATTATCAGCTGCTGAAAAATTAGTGAATGGTTTAGCAGGTGAAAATAAACGTTGGGGAGAAAATGTAAAAGAATTATCTAGTAATATTAAATCTGTTGTAGGAAATGCATTATTGGCTGCAGCCTTTGTTTCATATATTGGAGCATTTTCAGCTAAATTAAGATTAGAATTATGGTCTAAGATATGGTTGAATGACTTATAAGCTAAATAGATTCCATTAACATAAGGTATTGATCCACTTAAAATCTTAACAACTGAAGCTAAAATTGCTAGTTGGAAGAATGAAGGATTGTAATCAGATTAAATGTCATTGGAAAATGCATCAATTATTAGTGCTTGTTCAAGATGGCCACTCATTATTGATCCATAATTATAAGGTTCAGTTTGGATTAGAGGATCATAAGGTGATAATTTGGTTACTATAAATGTCAGTTAAAATAAGTGGTTGTAATAATTAAATGCTTCTATTCCTATGGGTAAAGCAGTATTGTTGGAAGGTATTTAATAAGAAATAGATGCCACACTTGATCCTCTATTGAGTAGAGCTATTGTTAAGAAAGGAAAGAGTGCTTATTTAGAATTAGCAGGTGAATAAATTGATTATGATTCAAAATTCAAACTATTTTTAATGACTAAATTGTACAACCCACATTTCAGACCAGAAATAGCTGCATAATGTACTATTATTAACTTTATTGTTACTGAATCAGGTTTAGAAGAATAATTACTTGCTGCTGTTGTGAATATTGAAAGAAATGAATTAGAAATGAAGAGATCAGAATTAGTAAAATAATAAAATGAATTTTCAGTATAATTAGATAAATTAGAGGAAAATCTTTTGATTTAATTATCAGAAGCTGATCCTTCAACTATTTTAGAAAATAAGAGTTTAATTGCAAATCTAGATAATACTAAATAAACATCTAATACAATTACTGAATAAAGTAAGATAGCAAAAGTAACTGAAGTTGAAATCAATCAATAAAGAGAAATTTATAGAATTGTTGCTGCTGAAGGTGCTATGCTTTATTTCTTAGTAATTTAATTAAGTGTTATGGAACATATGTATCAATATTCATTAGAATCATTTAATAAATTCTTCTTCAAAGCTATTGAAAGAACAACTATAAGAGATGAAACAAGAACTGAAGAATTAAGAAAGAATATTAGATATACAATTTATTAATGGATAAGTAGAGGATTATTTGAAAAACACAAATTAATATTTTTAACTTTGATTACATTTAGATTAATGTAAAAGAAAGTAATTGAAGTAGTTTATGAACCAGCTGAAATGGATTTCCTTATTAAATGTGTACCTAGAGCAGGTGTTGAAAATAATTTAGATTGGTTATCATAAAATGCTTGGGATTCAGTACAAGGATTAATTTAATTAGAAGAATTCAAATTGTTTGCTTAAAATATGGAAAAAGATGCTCCAATAAGATTTAAAGATTGGTACAATGAATTATAACCAGAAGATGTTAAATTACCATTTGATTGGAAGAGATTAGATTAAATGCCATTTAAAAAATTATTAGTCTTAAGATGTTTAAGACCAGATCGTATTACATCTGCTTTAACTAATTTCATTAGATAAGCATTACCTTAAGGTGAATCCTTTGTTGAAATGGATTCAAAACTTAACTTTTCAGATGTTCTTTCTGGATCAGTTGATGATTCAGATGCAACTATTCCAATTTTCTTCATTTTATCTCCAGGAGCAGATCCTGTAAAGGAAGTAGAAAAATTAGCAAGATTAAATAAGATTGAACCAGGAAAATCATTTTGGAATATTTCATTAGGATAAGGTTAAGATGAAATTGCTAGACGTAGAATTGAAGAAGGTAATAAGGAAGGACATTGGGTTATGTTATAAAATATTCATTTAATGCCTAAATGGTTATTAGAATTAGAAAAGATTTTGGATTCATTTACTGGAGAATAAGGTGGTGGTAATCCAAGATTTAGATTGTTTTTATCAGCTGAACCTTCAAGTGGAATTCCTATTGGATTATTGGATAGATCAATTAAATTGACTAATGAACCACCTGCTGGTTTAAGAGCTAATATGAAGAGAGCATGGGCTTATTTCAGTAAAGATGAAATTGAAGACAAAGATCCTAAAATTAAATCAATTCTCTTTGGTTTATGTTTCTTCCATTCTACTGTTATTGAAAGAAGACGTTTTGGACCTAAAGGATGGAATATGTCTTATCCATTTAATATGGGAGATTTGAGAGATTCTTATTTAGTCATGAATAGATATATGGAATAAGGAGCTGGTGGTAAAGTGCCATTTGATGATTTAAGATATATCTTTGGTGAAATTATGTATGGTGGTCACATTGTAGATGATTGGGATAGAAGATTATGCATGGGTTATTTGGATAATATCATGCATGAAGGAATATTTGATGAATTGGAATTATTCCCATTCATTGAAGGCAAGAATTTATCATTCAAAGTTCCTCCACCAAATAATTATGAAAAATACATAGAACATATTGAATAAGTACTCACTTAAGAAACTCCTCTTGCTTATGGATTACATTCAAATGCTGAAATAGGTTTCAGAACATAATAATGTTTAACTCTCTTCTCTACACTTTTNCATTTAGATTAATGTAAAAGAAAGTAATTGAAGTTGTTTATGAACCAGCTGAAATGGATTTCCTTATTAAATGTGTACCTAGAGCAGGTGTTGAAAATAATTTAGATTGGTTATCATAAAATGCTTGGGATTCAGTACAAGGATTAATTTAATTAGAAGAATTCAAATTATTTGCTTAAAATATGGAAAAAGATGCTCCAATAAGATTTAAAGATTGGTATAATGAATTATAACCAGAAGATGTTAAATTACCATTTGATTGGAAGAGATTAGATTAAATGCCATTCAAAAAATTATTAGTCTTAAGATGTTTAAGACCAGATCGTATTACATCTGCTTTAACTAATTTCATTAGATAAGCATTACCTTAAGGTGAATCCTTTGTTGAAATGGATTCAAAACTAAACTTTTCAGATGTTCTTTCTGGATCAGTTGATGATTCAGATGCAACTATTCCAATTTTCTTCATTTTATCTCCAGGAGCAGATCCTGTAAAGGAAGTAGAAAAATTAGCAAGATTAAATAAGATTGAACCAGGAAAATCATTTTGGAATATTTCATTAGGATAAGGTTAAGATGAAATTGCTAGACGTAGAATTGAAGAAGGTAATAAGGAAGGACATTGGGTTATGTTATAAAATATTCATTTAATGCCTAAATGGTTATTAGAATTAGAAAAGATTTTGGATTCATTTACTGGAGAATAAGGTGGTGGTAATCCTAGATTTAGATTGTTTTTATCAGCTGAACCTTCAAGTGGAATTCCTATTGGATTATTGGATAGATCAATTAAATTAACTAATGAACCACCTGCTGGTTTAAGAGCTAATATGAAGAGAGCATGGGCTTATTTCAGTAAAGATGAAATAGAAGACAAAGATCCTAAAATTAAATCAATTCTCTTTGGTTTATGTTTCTTCCATTCTACTGTTATTGAAAGAAGACGTTTTGGACCTAAAGGATGGAATATGTCTTATCCATTTAATATGGGAGATTTGAGAGATTCTTATTTAGTCATGAATAGATATATGGAATAAGGAGCTGGTGGTAAAGTGCCATTTGATGATTTAAGATATATCTTTGGTGAAATTATGTATGGTGGTCACATTGTAGATGATTGGGATAGAAGATTATGCATGGGTTATTTGGATAATATCATGCATGAAGGAATATTTGATGAATTGGAATTATTCCCATTCATTGAAGGCAAGAATTTATCATTCAAAGTTCCTCCACCAAATAATTATGAAAAATACATAGAACATATTGAATAAGTACTCACTTAAGAAACTCCTCTTGCTTATGGATTACATTCAAATGCTGAAATAGGTTTCAGAACATAATAATGTTTAACTCTCTTCTCTACACTTTTAGAATTACAACCAAAAGATAGTGCTAGTGATGAGAATGCAAGTGGTATGAGAACTAAGAACGAAATTGTTTAAGAACTTATTAAATAATTGGCTGAAGATATTAACTTAAAATCTATGATATTTAATATTGATGAAATTAAGAATAAGATTGNCATTTAGATTAATGTAAAAGAAAGTAATTGAAGTTGTTTATGAACCAGCTGAAATGGATTTCCTTATTAAATGTGTACCTAGAGCAGGTGTTGAAAATAATTTAGATTGGTTATCATAAAATGCTTGGGATTCAGTACAAGGATTAATTTAATTAGAAGAATTCAAATTGTTTGCTTAAAATATGGAAAAAGATGCTCCAATAAGATTTAAAGATTGGTATAATGAATTATAACCAGAAGATGTTAAATTACCATTTGATTGGAAGAGATTAGATTAAATGCCATTCAAAAAATTATTAGTCTTAAGATGTTTAAGACCAGATCGTATTACATCTGCTTTAACTAATTTCATTAGATAAGCATTACCTTAAGGTGAATCCTTTGTTGAAATGGATTCAAAACTTAACTTTTCAGATGTTCTTTCTGGATCAGTTGATGATTCAGATGCAACTATTCCAATTTTCTTCATTTTATCTCCAGGAGCAGATCCTGTAAAAGAAGTAGAAAAATTAGCAAGATTAAATAAGATTGAACCAGGAAAATCATTTTGGAATATTTCATTAGGATAAGGTTAAGATGAAATTGCTAGACGTAGAATTGAAGAAGGTAATAAGGAAGGACATTGGGTTATGTTATAAAATATTCATTTAATGCCTAAATGGTTATTAGAATTAGAAAAGATTTTGGATTCATTTACTGGAGAATAAGGTGGTGGTAATCCAAGATTTAGATTGTTTTTATCAGCTGAACCTTCAAGTGGAATTCCTATTGGATTATTGGATAGATCAATTAAATTGACTAATGAACCACCTGCTGGTTTAAGAGCTAATATGAAGAGAGCATGGGCTTATTTCAGTAAAGATGAAATTGAAGACAAAGATCCTAAAATTAAATCAATTCTCTTTGGTTTATGTTTCTTCCATTCTACTGTTATTGAAAGAAGACGTTTTGGACCTAAAGGATGGAATATGTCTTATCCATTTAATATGGGAGATTTGAGAGATTCTTATTTAGTCATGAATAGATATATGGAATAAGGAGCTGGTGGTAAAGTGCCATTTGATGATTTAAGATATATCTTTGGTGAAATTATGTATGGTGGTCACATTGTAGATGATTGGGATAGAAGATTATGCATGGGTTATTTGGATAATATCATGCATGAAGGAATATTTGATGAATTGGAATTATTCCCATTCATTGAAGGCAAGAATTTATCATTCAAAGTTCCTCCACCAAATAATTATGAAAAATATATTGAACATATTGAATAAGTACTTACTTAAGAAACTCCTCTTGCTTATGGATTACATTCAAATGCTGAAATTGGTTTCAGAACTTAATAATGTTTAACTCTCTTTTCTACTCTATTAGAATTGTAACCAAAAGATAGTGCTGGTGATGAAAGTACAAGTGGTATGAGAACAAAGAATGAAATTGTATAAGAACTTATTAAATAATTGGCTGAAGATATTAACTTAAAATCTATGATATTTAATATTGATGAAATTAAGAATAAGATTGATGCTGAAAATAAAGGTCCTTATTAAAATGTATTTTTGTAAGAACTTGAATATATGAATTACTTATTAATTGAAATTGTAAGATCTATGGAAGAAATTGATCAAGGTTTCAGAGGTATTCTTACAATCTCAGAATAAATGGAATCAATTATTGATGCCATTGCTTTGAATAGAGTACCAACTGTTTGGGTTGCATTGGCCTATCCTTCAAAGAGAGGTTTGGCATCTTGGTTAACAAATCTACTCAAGAGAATTGAATAACTCAATCTATTTAGAGATGATCCTTATGCAATTCCTAAAGTCACTATGATTGGTAGATTCTTCAATCCTTAATCATTCTTGACAGCCATTAAATAAGTTATTGGTAGACAAAGAGCTCAAGAATTAAATAGATTATACATAGCCACTGAAGTAACCAAAAAGAGTATTGAAGAAATTGATTAGACAGCCAAAGATGGTGCCTATGTATTTGGATTCGTATTAGAAGGAGGTATAAATTTCATTTTAATTTTTTCTAGCTCGTTGGGATGTAGTTACAGGTTAACTTGAAGAATCCAAACCTAAAGAAATGTTTAGTGTCCTACCTGTTGTTTACTGTAAAGCACTAATGGTACCAGCAGAAGGCAAAGAAGATAAAGCTCTTTATTAATGTCCATGTTATAGAACTGAAGACAGAGGTAATACCTACATCTTTACTGGACAACTCAAAACTAGACTCAATCCAAGAAAATGGATTTTAGCTGGTGTAGCACTTCTTCTTGATGTTGAAGGAGTCTCTGATGAAGCTGCTGCTGCTAAAAAGGAAAAGAAGGCTTGAAACTCATTATTAAATTTTATTATATATTAATTTAATCAATTTCTATTATAATCAAATATATATATATATATATAAATATAAAAAACTAGATTTCCATTTATTATGTTATTTTTAAGAATAAAGAATTTGTTTATTTATATATATTTTTAATAATTCAATCCTCATGATATAATTATTATACAATATCTTCATATGATAATGAATTTAATTAAAGAAGATGTGAGTTATAAAAACACATTTACGGAACTTAAGGGATAAATTTATTTCAAAATATAAATTTAAATTATGTTTTCTGCTTATTCTCAAAAATAGTAGAAGAAATATAAGGATAGAATCCTAATTGTGATATCTTAACTTAAAAAGTAAAAATAAAAAGGAATAAACAAAAACTAAGTATTTAAATCCTACTTTTAGAGTATTAAATTTATATATAACCAGGAGATTTACTTTTGGATATTTTTAGAAATACTCTCATTTATTAAGTTAAGTCAGAATCTTAAATCTAAAACCATTAAGGATCTATAATATATGAGATTATTGAATATATATATCTAATTAGAAAACAATAATAGCTTTCTTATTATTATCTATATATATATGTCATTTCATTTCAAAGAGATTCTCCCAAATTATTGCTTATATATTGTATGATATACTTTCATCTGATGAATTCTGAGCTTATCTTAATTTATTAGTTTTCAACCCTTTTTATTAATGAAAAATATAATGAGAAAATAATTAAAGGTCCTTAAGGAACTCAAAGGAGGTATTATATATACAATCTTAAGATTTAAGTCTTATTGAAACAGAACAATATGAAAAGCTAATATCATGCATAGACAAAATACTAGAGAGTAACAAAACTGATGGGGTATTATACTATTAAAAAGGTATTCATTTTTAAAGCTATTATTGAAGGAGTGATATTCTTTTAAAAAGATGATTATCAAAATGCAATAGAGTATTTTACAAAAGCATTAAATTATGATGTTGGAAACAACACTATAATATAAAATTTAGGTATTTCACTTTTAAAGCATTATAGGAATCTCATATAAAGCTGTTGGTAACTTTTAGGCTGCGTTGGAGTAGTTTAATAAAAGTTTAGCCATTCAATCAAAGAATACTTAAATAGCTGTTCTAAAGAGTAAAAAGTATAGGATAATTAAGGTGATACTCTAAGGTTAATGAAACGATTTAATGAGGCTGAAACTATTCTTAATGAGCTATATCAAAATGACAGAGAAAATATTTAAGTTATTGAAGGATTAATTGAATTAAAGTTAGATTAAGATTTAATAAATGATGCTATATCATACATTCCATAAATAGTATCTTTAAAGGTAATAGATGTTGAACCTCTATTTTAAATTGGTAAATATAAAATGATATACTAGTTTATCGATTAATATAGTCAAAATTGGAATAAGAAGCTTTGAAAGTTTTAAGCAAAATTATTTCATATGATAATAAGAACACCGAAGCATAGTATACATATGGAGTAATCCTATACAATGAAGATTAATTTACAGAAGCTTTGAAATCTTTTGAAAAGGTTATTGAATTAGACTCTTAAAATACTTCTGCTTTACTCTATTTGGCTTTATCATTTGGACAACTGAATAGATATTAAGAGGCAATTTAAATATTTAGTAAATTGTTGTAGATTAACCCAAAAGATGCAGCAATTTGGAATAATAAGGGTATAGCTTGTAGAGAATTAAAATAATCTCAATAAGCTTTGGCATGTTTTGATTAGGCTTTATTAATTAATCCTACTAATCCTCTTTATAAAATCAATAAAGCATTATTAATGATTGATATGAATAAATCTGAAGGTTTAAAATTACTTTAAGAAGCAAAAGATACTTTTAATTCAGACATAAAATTAGAAAATAATTAAGGATTTACATCAGTTAATATCTAATATATGTAAGAATAATTTTAATTATTGGAATAAAGTGGAAAAGAATCTGATTTATTAGATTAATAGTTAATTATTTAAACAAAAAATTATGAGAGAAAGAAAAGTGATTAACGATTTTAATCAGTATAAAAATAAACAGTTAAACTACCAACTGAAGAAGTTAAAAGTGAAATTTTAAATTAATAAGATTAAAAAAAGGAAGCCAATATAAGTTTTATTCAGTAGAGTTGTTTAATTCAAGGAAGCAATAGTAATTTAATTTAAATAGAAAATACTCTAATAGGAGGATAATAAGGTAGTTATAAAAAAAAGAATACAAGAATTAAAATTGAATAATTAACAAATATGTATTAATAATTAGAATAAAAAATAAATACAATAGAATAATAAATGTAATTAGTTGGATTAGATAAAAGAGCTGCTATCTATAAGTAATTACAAGAATTTTAAAAAAGTGCAGAAGGGTTGAATTAATTAGCTTATTATAAAGCATTTTTTTGGACTCTTTTTAATTATATACAAGCTTACACAAATTAAAGTACTGGATTATTTCAATATAATACTAATTAAACAATTGAAACTACAACAGAAAAAGTAGCTGATAATTTAGAAGCAGGTTTAGCAATTGGAGTTAAAATATCAGCTTCAGTTCCTTTAGTAAATAATGTTTTATCTGCAGTTCATTCTGCCATTCAAACACTTTTCAAAATTCATAAAGACAATAAACATTAAGATAGAATAGAAGTGATAAATGAGATAGTCTAAAAAAAAGTAATTGGATTGAGTGATTTAGAATTATAAATATCTATCGCAGCACTTGATCTTTCTATTAAAAAATTAGATGATATCAAGGATTTAGAAAAAAAAGAGAAGACGAAACCCACAACTTTTACTTAAGAAATGGAGAAAATAATATAAAGAATGATGGATTCCAGATCATCTCTTTTCTAAGGAGGAGCTAGTCAAATAGGTTTAGAAGATGCATTAAAATGTCTTGGTTATTATTATTAAAATGGATTAATTGATGAAGATTAGGAACTCTCATAATAAATGATATAGATAATTATAGAAAAACGATATGTTATTCGCAAAATTGATATAGCAGAAACAAGAGATTGTCTTTCTTGCAGTTGCTAAATCTAATGAATAACTTCAAAAACTATTTCTTAAATTACTAATTATTTGTAATTAAAATTTAATTTTTATATCAAAAAAATCAAATAAACTTATTTTAAGTTATCTATTATCCTATATTATATAATCTATTAAAGTAATCTGTCTTTTTAATCTAGGATTAAGATTGAAAGATAAACAATTTAAGGATTTTTTATACTTTTAAATTATTTACATTTTATGAATAAATTACTGATAAAATGAGCAATTTTTCTAAAGAAATATTGTGATTAATTGTTGTATTTTAAAATATTCATAAAAAAGTGGAAGAAAATAATTTAGAATAAAAATAAATTGAGATCAATTAGTGTCATAGAATTTTGTGTAGAATTTAAGAATGGATAGTTATAAGCAGTATTCAAAATGAATTATTGAAAATTAAGCAAAAAAAAATAATCAGATAAAATTTTACCATAGCAATTGCAGATAATTGGCGGGAAATGAAGGGATTTTAAAGGGGATAGAGTTGTTTTAGGTGATTAATGTAATTTTATTGGTTAATATAATTATATAGGGATTTTTTTTTTTATTGAAATTTTAATTAAAACTAAAGTATTGAATCTCAATTTAAATAAGAAATACATTGCATAAAACAAATGACAGAAAATAATACTAAAAAGGTATATATAAAAATTAATAATTTGTTTAGGAAGTACAACCAAAAAGACCTTAATGTGCTTTCTTTATTTACAAATAGGAGGTATACTAATAAGTCAAGGATGCCAATCCTGGTAAGAAAATGACCGATATTACTAAGATCATTTCTTAATAGTATAAACAACTAACCAAGGATAAAATTGATTAATACGAATAAAAATATAAGGACAACAAAGTAGTCTATGAAAAAGAAAAGAAGTTCTCATATCTATTTATATATTAATAGAACCTATGAGGATAAACATGGTAAGATTAAGAATGAAAGAAAGAAGAAGAAGGATGATACCAAGGCTACTAAAAAACCTTAAAACAAAAAATAGAAGAAGTAAGAATCCGATGAAGATCAGAGTAGTGAGGATGATGATTGAAATATTTTATATTTTAATAAATAAATATTTTATTTTTAGAATGGGAGGATCTAAATCTAAGTCTATTAAGAAGCATGCCAAAGTGGCATTTTCAGATTCTGAACTTGAGATTTTGGAAGTCTATTTCGAACTATTGAAATGTCATGATTCATTGTAAAAAATTTAATTCAATATGATTTAAATAGAAACGGATATTTAACATAGAAATCAATGGTCCCAGAGTTTCCTGAAAACCCTGATTTCTCAATTAAACTATACAATTGGATGAGAGAACGCTGTAAGAATTAGTAGATAGATTACACTAATTTCGTGATTACATGTAAATAATCAATTCTTAAAGTATAGTGGAACTTCTATTAAAAGAATAATAGGAATACTATTTAAGTGATTATAAATTTAGAGTACTTGAGAAATTTGAGTTATTTGCATTGATAAGTTTGGGTTGTTTGGAAAATGAAAAGGAAGCAATAAATAGGTAGTTAAATTCTTTTTATTTAGATTCCAAGTAAGTTATTCTTAAGGAAGTTAAGTGATTAAGGAATTATTGAATATGTATTATTTTAACAAGGAAGTAACTAATAGCTAAAGAAATGATTTGGCAGCTAGAAGTGTAGCTAATTCTATTTTTGATTAAAAAGCATCATTGCCATTTAATTAATTTATTGGTTAAGCAAAATAGCAATTAATTTATGCTAATAAAATGTGTAAATAGTATTTTACAAAAAAATTTATTGATCCTCATCTTAAATATGGAATTCCAACTTTGACATCCTCAAGTTTTATATTAAATGATTAAATTCTTGCATTATTACAAATGAGTTCACCAGACTTTAATAGGATCAAATAATTAGATCTCAAATTTTCATCTTCAGTCGGATATGATGATTTAGAGCATATTACAGAAATTATAATAGAA